CCCCAAAAAAAATTTTTTAAATTAAAAAATGATTTTCTCTCTCTCACTGTCAGTCTCTGCAATGGTTTTATTTATTTAATTTTTCATTTATTTTTTAGTTAATTTTATTATTATTAAATTTATTTTTGTTTACAAAAAAAAGTTTTTTCCTCATTTTTTCTTGATTGGTTTAGGCCAATCGCTTGGCTATGCTTTTGTAAATTATGAAAGGCCTGAAGATGCTCGCAAGGCCCTTATTTCGATGAATGGGCTACGTATCCAGAATAAAACATTAAAGGTGTGTGTAGATAACGTAGATGCTTTTAATAGAATGGAATGTTTTTGAAGGCTTTTTTCCTATTTTTAAGATAAGGAAGGCATTAGTAAGCCCATTTGGATGCATTAAGCCTCTTAGGAAGTCAGTATCTCTCTGATATTCCACCTGATGCGAGGCTGTTAAACGCTCAATCATTATCCCACCGTCTGATTGTTCTATTTGTGCGTTATCCGCTAGGAAACCCCCTTGTGGTTCATCAGGCCCCTTAGGAAGGCTGATATTCTCTTTGATGTTCCACCACTTTGACGGCCTTACTGTTCTTCATATAGAAAGCCTCTTCTTTCTTATTCAAATCAGTCAGATTCTCTAAATTTCTATCTGACAAATATTAGATAATACCAAAAATAAAGCCCATGCCATTCTATTAAAGCATCTACGTTAATAAAGCTATATAATAATATTTAATTCTCGTTTGTTTATTTTGTTTTTTAAATGGTTTTAGTTTTAAATTTATTCTCTCAACTTTTATATTTTTAATTTTAATATCCTTTTTTGATTTTTTTGGTTTTTAAAAATTTTTTATTTAAATTTTAAAATTAAGTTTTTTGCCTTTTCTGTGCTAATTTTATCGGAAAATAAAGAAAAAAAAATTTCAGGTGTAAATAATTAAATTAAAAACAAGTTTAAGCTTAAATAAAACCTGGGTTTAAGCATAAGAGATACAAAAGTTTTAACTTAAAACTTAAGTTTTTAAGTTTAAGTATATTTTATGTTTAAGCTTTGAATTAAGTTTGCGACTTAAGTTGTAAGAGTTAAAACTTGTTTTAATTCAAGTTTTAAAGAGAACTTAAGTTTACAACTTGTTTAAACTTAAAGTTCGAATTTAAACTTAAAACTTTAAGTTTAAACTTAAGACTAGATTTTAATAAAACTTGGAAACTTAAGTTTAATAAAAACAAGTTTTAAGAGTTAAAACTTGTTTTAATATAAGTTTTAAGGAGAACTTAAGTTTACAACTTGTTTAGACTAAAAGTTCAAGTTTAAACTTAAAACTAAATTTTAATAAAACTTGGAAACTTAAGTTTTAGTAAAAACAAGTTTTATAAATTTTGTTAAGCCCATAAATAATACATACATCTTCCCACCCTTATAATTAAGTAATTTCCAATTTTATACTTAAACTTGAATTATTTTAAGGTTTCATTAGCCCGCCCTTCAAAAGATGACATTAAAGGTGCTAATGTTTATGTTAGTGGACTTCCAAAGTCTTTGACTCAGCCAGAGCTTGAGGCTGTATTTAGACCCTTCGGGGCTATCATTACTTCAAGAATTCTTTATGATAATGTTACTGGTAGGGATTTAAGCTAAATTTAAATTGACATCCTCTCTAGGCCTCTCCAAAGGTGTTGGATTTGTCCGTTTTGACCGAAAATCTGAAGCTGAGGATGCCATTGAAAAAATGACTGGTACATCTCCTTGGGGTGGAGACGAGACAATTTCTGTTAAATTTGCAAACAGCCCTACTTCTAATAATGCTAAAACTTCACCTAATGCTTCTGTTCAAGTAAATAGGGAGATTTTAGACTCTATTTGAAAGTAAGAGTCCCTTTCCTTTTCTAACCAACAAACAAAGGAAGGGACGCTTCCTTTCAAGTAGATCCTTTTTCTAATAATCTCTCTCATTTAGTCTCTTCTTCCTCTTCTCCAACAAAATACTCTTCCTTCCATTCCCCTAACTGGAATTCAAGCAGCTCAGTTAAACCTAACACCTTCATTGTTCTCAAACGCAACGGCTGCAACTTCTTCAGCTGGAGGAGGTCCAATTCCTGGGCATGTTCCTCAACATCGCTTTCGATTCTCTCCTTTAGCTGGTGCTCCTTTGATTAGGTAGGGATAGAGATGTTAGAGTCTCAAATCTTAAAACTACCGTTTGAGTCTTGAGAAATAGCCACTAGAGTCTGGGATACGGTAGCTAAACGATCAGACTCTTGTATCACTTTTAAGGACACTGGAGTCTCACATAGATTTTAATTGGGCCCACTAGTTCCATCGGTCCAGTAGAGTCCCATGAGTCCATTAGAGTCTCAATAAATTTTAAAATCTCATTCCTTCTTCAGTGCTTCTGCCCCCGCGATTCCTCCAGGCAACACTTCTGCAAACATTTCCGCTCCTCTCTCATCTCTCCCTTTATTATCCAATCCAGCAGCTGCACTATTACAAGGTGCTAATACTCAAGATTATTTAAATATTTTACAACAACAATTGCTTCAACAACAATTGGCAGCTTATGCTGCAAACATTGCAGCTGCTACAGGACAACAACATCCTCTAGCAGCTCAAAATTTTAATGCTGCGTCACTTGCTGCTGCGGCACAGCAGCAGGTATTTGAATATTAGAGTAGACTATTAAAGTAGCACCCCGTCCCCCGAAACCCATACCCCGAACCCCGACCCAAAAGTCAACCTCGACACCGAACCCTGACATGCCCACCCAATCAAACCCCGATCTCCGACACACCCGACCCCAAAGGCTCGGTATTAAAGTCTCTATCCTTTCCTCTCTCCATTAGAGTCTCAAAAGTTTTTCTTCAACGATTAGAGTCTCGCATTTTCCTCATTTTCAGTACAACATGTATGCCGCCCTAGGCGCCCTTCCAACATCAAACGGAATAAATATCAACACCTCCACAGGAACTTCAACATCTCTATCTTCAAATTTATCAAAAAATCCTTCCCTTCCAGAAAATACCAACCCTACTTCATGGACTATAAACATTAGCAATTTATCCCCCGAAGCAGAAGAATCGGTCTTATGGAAATTATTAGGCCCTTTTGGAGCTGTACTTTCTGCTCAAATGAAAGGAAAGGGTGTTGGTAGTGTTTTGATGGCAAATTATGAAGAGGCTATGGCCGCTATTAATAGTTTAAATGGGCTTATGTTGAATGGGAGACAATTGAAGGTACTTTAGTTTCCCTATTATAAGTCAATGAAGTGCGGCAATAATGAGCTATAACCCTTCTATTTGGTAAACACCCATTATAAGACTTATTGGAGTACCAGCTATAATGAGCTATAACCCCTCTATTTAGTAGACACCTATTATAAGGCTTGAGTAGGTGTCGACAGTTGTGTGTCACAGTGCCGAGATTCATTGTCTTAAGACTTTTCTTGGGTTTTTTCGGTCTTGTTTGGTGTAGAATCTTTGCCGTGAGTCTTGAAAAATTTTTCGCTCTCATACAGCTCTAGGATATAACCCCTCTATTTGGTATACATAACCACTAGAACCCGTGACCTATAGCGTATTTTCTCCTTTATCGGAGTCGCTAATAATGAGAGTTTTATTACGGGCTTTCAAATTTTCTTAAATTTTCTGTACTTTTTAGGTTTCACTAAACAAATCATCATCTGGAAATATTTATTAATACACAAATGAACTAATTACAAAAATATTTAAATTAACCAAAGAGAGACGCATAATACAAAAAATTGACTAGAAATTACAAACAATTTACGATTCGAGATAAATTTTCTAGAGGTTCTTTGTCAATTAATTCTTTTAGCTTATTTTTTTATTAATTTTTTGTTTAATCTTCGATAAATTTATTTTTTTTTAATTTTGTAAACTAAAAACAATAACCGTGTACATATTAGGCAGTTATTTATTGCTTAATGACCCTAGTTCAAATTAAACGAAAACAAGGATTGATTTTGATCCTCCTATAAGCGAGGAATAGTCCTTTTTAACAAGTGACTATATAGGGATCTCCGACAGGATGGATAATTTTTAATTTTGAAAAGCGGAAGCAGAATAAAAATAAAAAAAAGCGGAAAACAGGAGAGCCAAAAGATTTTGATCCTCTTTTGGCTCTCCTTTGGCTCACTAAACGAGATTTTGATCCTCCCGAAGAATCTCAGTTTCCGAAGGTTTGTGCAAGCAGCTAAGTCACGTCTGGTCAAAGAGTGACATTGATCTGCTCTTTATTGTATAAAGAAAGATTTTGATCCTCCCTAGAAAGGGAGGAATGCGCCGTTCCCGGAGGTAAGTGCAAGACCGGGCCGACGCGCGGCAGAGAGGAAGCAAGCTTCCAACTCTTACCCTTTTCCAAAAATTGGTTAATCTCTTTGATCCCGGTAGGGATCGTTACGGAGATTAAGCCGTAAAGAACAGATACTACACTTTGATCTTAGCCAAAAGGCCGAGAAGCGATAAGTGACATAAGAAAAGTCAAACAAAAATGGAATTTACTTTAAAAATTATTAAACAGGGTGGAGAGGGTTATGGGGGTAGTTAGATAAGATAGCTCTGTTTTGCGTAGGAAAAGAAATGTGAGAAAATGAGAGATTGAAGGAAGGAGGAAGGAAATGGTTATAGAAGGATGACAGAAGTATAACGAGAATGAAGAAGCAAGGACGAAGAAAGAAAGGAAGGAGGAAGAGAACTTGGGGAATTTTTTTGGGGAATGAGTGAAAGAAAGGTGAATGGAAGGTTTGTAAACTTGGAAAAAATAGAAATAAAAATTTACAATTTCTAAAATTGTAAATCAGAATAAAGAATCATCTGTCAATATTTTTAAAAAATAATTAAAAATAGTATCTTAAATTATTTTTTGGGCGTAACTCTTAATTTTGGTTAGTTTGATCCCTTATTTTTTGATTAATTTAGAGTAGTAAATATTTTTATTATTTCTTGAACGTTTAATCTGTCAATAAAAATAATCAAAAATAAACTAGAATAAACTAGAAATGTTCTATTATTTCTCAATTTTTAATATTTTTATTTTGGTTTTTATTAAAAAATATGACGCACAATTGTATGTTTTCATCTAAATTTTTTTAAATTCAAAAATTTTTTCGTTATTATTATTAGAGTTAGACGAGAACCACAGAGCCAGTGCTTCCCGAAAATTTTATATTAAAATCCAAAGTCGCAATCCGCAAGTCAAATAAACGCAAACTGAAAGGAAATTTTACGCAACCCGTAATTGCGAAGAGCCTTAGATAGGCCGCCCTCGGTCCCATTATGTAGAGACAGGACTAAGACCAATCTAGGTTAGCTAAAACACAATTTTTCGAGCTGTCGATCCTCGTTGGATTTTTAGGCGGATCTTTAGAATTTTTAGCAGATTGAGATCTCTGAAATGCTTAATTAATTAAATCCGCTCTCAAAAATCTTAGAGGCATTTTAAATTTTTTTAAAATTCAGTCTTTAACTTTTTTTAGTACATTATCACGAACTCCAGGCTCTAAACCTTTACATTTACGTATTCAACTACCTCCTACCTCTTCAGACAGTATATCATTTATTGCCCTATTTCCCAATGAAAATTGCTTAACTAACAACTTGATTGATAATCGGTATGGGGATCTTTCAGATAAATTTTTTCTAAATTCCTTTAAAGAATTTTTCTCGATTTTCATGGATGTCGTGTAAGTCTGGATTGGTCTGAAACTCTGTTTGGAACCACCAATTATTTTAAAAGTTTGAGACGACAAAAAAGGAGATGGCGTGTTGGACCTGTTCAAAAATGTGAATGTTTTTGTATTTAACTCGAGCTTTTAAATTTTATCTTTTAATCACTAAGGCCTCTTTAGGTTAAGTATTGTAAGGCTGACTATGTTGATAAAGCTAAAATAAAAAATACCAGTCGGTTGAGGGATGATTGAATGGATTTTTTGGACCCGACAGGTCTAAAAAACTATGGTTGATAGCTCAAACCCTATCTAGAGATCGGGCCAGAGCTTCAAAGGTCGGAGATCGGAATTATAAAACAGCTCTGGATCTGACTGAGCGAACAAACTCGTACAACCTTCCCAGTTCAGTACAACCCTACCAGTCCGGGAACAAAAATTTAGGTTCTCAAGAAATCGAGATTTTTTGAGATATCTATCTTGAAACTCGTACGTCCTTCACATTCCAGTACAATCCTTTTAGTCCGGCCTCTAATCCTTGCTTATATTTTGATATTCTCTGACATTTGGTTTTAGCCTACCAAGCCAAGGTTTTACTTGATTATCTCATCAACCTATTTGGTTTAAGTAATTTCCAATCAAATTACTCATAAAATAGTTCAAATTATTTCGCTAATTTCCAGTAAAAATGGGCTCAGCTATTGCCCATTACGGTAATGATATGCACATTGATATGGATTCGACAGGTCTAACAGCCTCTTCAATCGCTCCAAATGGCATTCAAGTTGGTCCTCGACAGCACAAAAAATTTAAATGTTTGTTGGGTATTTCGGCAACTAGAATATTAGAGTTTGACTTATTCATCCCACAAGGAACTGCAAAATGTAGCAGTTTGTCTATTCAATTTGTAAGGGGTTTTAAATAATTTTTATTTCTATCGGGTCCTGGCAGGGATATCCGAGTAACTAATCACCTTATAAGTCGAGGTTGAAACGATAATTACCCAGATAATATACTCAGAATTTAAAGTAGGGTAGCTCCCAAAGTCTTCGGGGTCGGATGTTCCCTTGGAGGGGAGTTTCCCTGAGAGTGGTTCTGGGTCGGGGTTGACTTTTGGGTCGGGGTTGGGGTACGGGGAGCTACACTAATTTAAAGTACACCTCATAGTTAGATACAATTTAAACCCCAAGGTCTTATCTTAAAATGAGCTTCAAAAATCCTGGAATGAACGTAATAATTGTTTTGGAAGCTTGAGATTTCTTCTAATAAAATAATGAAAGCTAAATTTTAGGGTCCTGATTATAAACTTTTGGGTACTGAAGAAAGAGGAGAGAAGAAAATCAACGAATTGGATGAAACAGCGATTGCTGATTGAGTTTCTGAATAATTAAAAATTAAGAAGATATTGCCTAAATTTGCGTTATTTGATAAAATTATGTATACAAAATTTTACCATTATGACCCCAAAAAATAAAAATTATTTTATTTGATAAAAAATTAAATATTGCCATGTTTAATTGATTAAAGCATCAAAAAATGCCGCTTTTTTAAAATTTTCTTTAAATTTAAGGAAACATCCTTTCCAAGCCTTTAAGCCTTTCCCAGTTTATTCTTCCGGCTTCTTCTCTTTACAGACACTGTTCTGTCCACAGTAAGTCGAATTATTGCCTGGTGAAGGGTAACAAGCCCCACTTTTCCCATGGTAGTATTGCATGTGGCTATCACAGTCCGTAACTTTGCCGCGTGAACCAACATAACGCCCAGCTTTCACAATACCACGTTCTACAGGTCCGTCAAAATTATAGCCCGCAAGACACGATTTTCCGGCAAACCCTTTGTTAACATCATATTCGTAGAATTCTCCATTTGAGCATTTAAAACGCGTCTGAATAAATAATAAATTTAAAAAAAAATACATATGTATATTTCCTCATTTTTAAATCGGTTGGGCCCCTTATTTAAAATAAATTATGGATTTAAAAGAAAGAGATATGGTATCCTAAATTGGAGGGGATTTACAAGGGTTCCGAAAGTGAAATTTAATTTTTATGTCGACAGGATCCTGGTGTGTATCTACATATTGGCATGCTTGAATTAGGGTTCGATATTACTAGACGGGGCTGGGCTTACGGGGAACGGAAGTTGCGGGGAATTCGAGTTAAGAGAACGGGGAATTCGAACCGCGCGGATGTGGAACTGGGGTTCTGGGGGAGGACCTCTTCCGTCCCTAGGGAATTCCCTTCCCCGGGGACGGGGATGAGCCCTAGTTTGAATGTCTTACATTTTTGTCATGATTCTCCGTTGCTTTATAGTCCGCTGCTTTATTCTCAAATGAGTGTTTATCATCCGATGCTTTATTCTCGAATGCTTTGTTGTCCATATGTTTGTTCTCCATTTCTTTATAGTTCATTGTTTTATTGTCCTGTTTATCCGAATCTTTCATTATTAACTTGTTGGGATTTTAATTTAAAAAATTTAATCTAAAAAATATTTTTGTTAAAAAAATTGTCCTTTTAAAAAGCTGTTTAAAAGGGTTTCCAATTCACAATGCTTCAAATTTATAAACAAAAGAATATGCCCAATTTTTAATGATATATGGGCAAGCCGATGATTTAACAATGTATAAACAATAAAAATTATAAACAAAAAGTGTAATTGGATGAATAATGTTTATTTAAAATATAGAGATTAATGCCTAGGATAAAATATTAAATTTCAAATATAAATAAGTTTGGAATGCCGAAGGAAAAAATGTTGGAATAAGACTATTAGGGGATTTAATTAAATTTTCTTCAAAAAACGCCACCCTTATCCTCCTACTTTCCATCTAAAGAGGGTCATATATTTATGCGGACTGATGGGCGGATGGAAGCCTGATTTTTGTGTCATTATTATTCCTGGATTAAAATTAGGGTTGTACCCCGAACGCTCGGGGGCGGGTATGTCGGGGTACGGGGTTTTCCAATTGTTTCGGGGCGGGGTTCGGGTCGGGGGAGCAAAATATGGCCGGGGTTCGGGTCGGGGTACGGGGGTTTAGTGGAAAAATTTTTAGAGAAAAAAATGCTAAAAAATAATTAGAAATCGATATATTTTCGTTGATTTATTCAAAAATTAAGTAGGATTTGAAGAAATTAGAGGGGATTTGAAGGGATTAAAGTGTATAACTTGGTATATAAGTGGATATGGAGGGATTAATTAGGATTTTTAGGGATTAAATGGTATATTTAGGGATACAAGGTGATCTGGAGTGATTTTTGTTTGTTCAAGGGATATAGTGATTTATAAGGATATTGATGTATTGCGGATAAGGGTATTTGGACGGATCTCAGGAGATATCTTCGATTAATCCTTAAATCTCCCACGAAATCCTTGTTAATTCCATTAAATTCACGTAATCCTTTCAAATCCATTTTAATCTAAACCTTATATCTCCTTTATAACTCCTTAAATCCCTTTATAACTCCTTAAATCCCTTAATTCTTCGAATCCTACAAATCCCTTTATATCTCTGATTCCCGTTAACAGGACCTCGATAGTTTTCCAACTGTTATGGTTGAGAATTGGTGATACAGGGGGTTTGAAGGATTAAGGGTGGTTCAAGGGATTCAGTTAAAAATAAAATTAATATTTTCAAATTAAAATTTAACTCGTTAATAATTTGTTTTTGTAAAGAAATATAAAAAATCGAGTTCTCCTTATATGGATCCAGACCCGATCCTATATTAATGAAATATCGGCTAAAACCACGACTAAGCCACTCAACCACAAGTCTCTTACCAAAAAAGGAAAGAAAATTATGATATTTCATTCATTTTTCTTCAAAAATAATAAAAGAAAAGTAAAATGGGTGGAAATTTTTTGAATTTTCTTCATTAATTTCTCCAAAAAAGGACATTTTTTAGGGGTATAAAACCCCGATAACCCCGAAACTTTTTGGGCCGGGGAACGGGGTTTTCACTTTTTTTCGGGGCGGGGTTCGGGTCGGGGAGAATCGTGAAAAAATCGTTCGGGAACGGGGTCGGGGTTCGGGGTACGGGGTCGGGGTACAACTCTAATTAAAATGTATAGCTTGAGTCAAACTTGTTAAAAATCTTGTTAAGAATCTTGTTAAAGATCTCGAAGATTCAAATGATCAGAAGACGCTCCTTCCTCTCTATGTGGACATTATAATGCCTCCTATTATACACTAAAATAATGTGAAAAATATGAAAAAATAAATATAATTATTATTCATTTTTTAAAATTTTTTATCAAAAAAACTCATTATAATAATCATAAACCCGACAAAATATTTTTTAAAATATTATTTTGTTCAATTTAATCTTTTTAATATGTTTGTACTAGGGATTTGATTATTTTTTAGATTTATTTATTTTTTAAAAATTCGGAAAAAATTTTATTTTCCTATATCATCAATTTTTAACATATTTTTAATTTTATAAAATAAAATAAAAATTTATTTCTAATAATATTAAAAAAAATAAAAGTTTGTACTTATTGTAAAAATGAGGCTAATAATTAATTATATTCTGATTATTTTCTTGATTAAAACATCAAGTTTTACTGTTGCGTTAAAATGTTTTCAGGTAATAAATAATTACAAACTTAAGTTTGTAATTAAATCAGAATTATTATATTTAAAATCAGAATTATAAAAACACAATAAAATTAAAATCAGAATTAATGAAAACAAAATAAACTTGAAATCAGAATTGTAAAAATATGTGAGATTATCAGAATTATTAATAGTAAAATAAAATCAGAATTGGGAATTAAACTTAAATAAAGATCAGAATTAACACTTTTTTAATTAAATTAGAATTACAATTTGTAATTAATAAAATCAAAATTATTAAAAACAGAAGAGAATTAAAATCAGAATTTTAAAAATATAAGAGATTGTGTATCAGAATTATTAATAATAAATTAAAATCAGAATTACAAACTTGAATTAATAAAATCAGAATTAACACTTGTTTTAATTAAATCAGCATTAAAGCTTGAATTAAATAAAATCAGAATTACAATTTGTAATTAACAAAATCAGAATTTGAACTTTAAATAAAATCAGAAATGCAACTTTAAATAAATCAGAATTACAATTTGTAATTTAAAAAATCAGAATTTCAACATTAATTAAATAAAATTAGAATAAAATTTGTAATTAATTAAATCAGAATTACAATTTGTAATTAATAAAAAATCAGAATTTCAAATTTGTAATTAATTAAATCAGAATTTCAACTTTAATTAATAAAACCAGAATTACAACTTAAAATTCATAAAATCAGAATTACAATTTCTTATTAAAAAATCAGAATTAAAACTTGAATTAACAAAAATCAGAATTACAATTTGTAATTAAAAAAATCAGAATTAACACTTGTTTTAATTAAATCAGAATTTCAACTTTAATAAAATAAAATCAGAAATTACAATTTGTAATTAACAAAATCAGAATTTCGACTGAAATTAATAAATCAGAATTAAAACTTGTTTTAATTAAATCAGAATTACAAACTTGAATTAAATAAAAATCAGAATTCAAACTTAAAACTTATTTTCAGGGCATAACTCCCTTCAGTTCTTTTGTAAGCATGAACTCAACTATGGTAATTTAATTATTATAAACTTAAGTTTGTAAACTTGAGTTTTTTAAGGCTGGTATGTATTTGCCCCCAGACTGTCCCATGCCTGCAGCTTCTTGTATGAAAGCTGTTGATTATTCAAGACAAGTGCTTATCTATTCCTGTATGACTACTAACTGTACAAGCATGCCACTTACCTCTGTTAGTTGTGAAAATTTAAAAAATTATTAAAAATGTTCTGAAAATTAATAAAAATAAAAAAAATTCATATGTATTAGTACCGATTATTTGGGCATTTATTGTAATTACTCGAGGGCTCATAGAATTTCCGAAAGGCAAGCTAAAAATCTGAAATTTTGCAAATATATCCCTATTGATGCCTTCTATGTTCTCTTAAAATTTGAAATTTATTGGTCGTTTAAAAACTAGTTTTATGAGCTTTGGACTAATTTTTTCCCGCGTCCACAACAAAAAATTCAAGATGACTTTGATTTTTTTATTCTTTTGACTTCGCCGCCCATAGAAATTTTTTTTAATTTTTTCAGAGTTCTCCAGGCATTGCTTGTTTTAATTCCGCCGGTGATAACAACCCTTTCTGTTGTTGCAGTGGGGATGGCTGTAATTCTCGTTTTATGCCTCCCTATTGTGAAGCTTTGGGTATTTGGAGTAATTGGGGTGATTGGTAATTTGAGAAATAAATCTTAAAATTTAATTTTTAATCCAAAAAAGGTCTTCATGTCCATCCACAACAACCTCCTCAACTACGTTAAATATAAGACGCCGATTACGCACCTGTAGCTCTTTCAGTGGTTGTGATCAAATGTCACAATTTCAATGCATGTAAGATTCATTTGAGTTTTACTTTTGGATTTTAACTTGAGTTTGAAGAAATTAATGTGACGGATACTTTTATAAGAAGGCTGGACTAGATCAAATCCCATAGATTCCGTTTGTCGCTTAAAACTTAGTATTTCGGGACGTAGCCTCCTATCCAGCACTCTAATCGAATCGAGATCAGTTTTATAAGCTCGTACCAAAATTAGCACGAGTACGAGCAAAAAATTAGGCTGGTAAAAGGTGCGAGTACGAAGTATGAGGCCAAAAATTAGCAAGTACCAAAAATTAGCACGAGTACAAGGCCTAAAATAGGGGTGTTACGAAGTACGAATCCTTTTTCATTTTAGGACAATCCCTATAATATCCGTCTAATAACCCTCCAGAAAATAATTTTTTTTAATTTTCAGAGGGAATTATTCAGAAGTCCTTCCATGTACCTCCACACCACCCCCGAGTAATTCAACAAGTTCAAATACTTCAAATATTCCCACACCCTCAGCAACAACACCTCCAACAATAAATACAGGCGTAGGAGGACCTATAGTTGTTGATCTGGTTCAATCTGCTAAAATAATTGCTAGTGGGGCTTTGAGTGCCGGATTGGTTCAGTCTATGCAAGTTAATTCTACTGGATAAATTAAAGAATTTTTTGTAATTAGAAGAAAGGAAATTATCGAAAAAATATTAAATTTAAATTTTTTGTTTATACAAAGTTGAATAAAATCGTGTTTATTAAAATAATTTTTGTTTAAAAAATAAGACTAAATTAATAATTAAAAATCCAGGGAGAAACAGGAACCCACACGAAATTTCCAGAAAACATAACATTAGGATTTAAAATACATTAATTATATAATTAAGATAAAGATTACCCCCCGGGGGTTATTTTTTCGATCGACCTCTAGAGGGGGGCTATTTTAGAAGGGGAGGTTATTTTAGAGTGAGGGCTATTTTAGAGTGAGGGGCTATTGTAGAGGAAATACGGTAGGTATTTTATATAGGATACTGAGTAGGGTTGTCGGTTCCGAACCAAATTTGCCTATCCATTCCCAAGAAAATGTACCAAATTTATTTTTTCCAAACTTTAGGTTTTACTATTTTTGAAAAATTTTTTTCTTTTTTAATTTTTCGTCGATCTCAATTTGCTAAAAAAAATTTTTTAACAAATAATATTATTTTTAACATAATTTTTTTCATTTTAACAACTTTGTTTGTTGACTTTGCATTATAAAATGTGAGTATACTAATCTTTAAAATAAGTTAAGGGGACTACCCTCTCCTCCAACAAAAAAATCACGTGAAAGTGTTTCATTTTTGGTCTCTTTTTTACCCAGTTTTGCCTCTAACGTCGTTCAACATGTCTGTCCAATTTTTTGCAGAAAATTTGCAAAAATAAAATTAAGGCCCATATAATCGCGACTAAATTGGAAATTAAATGTGGAGACGATGAGATTCTGACATTAAAAATGGCAATTTTCTTGGGGAGGGGGGGGGCTACAGTAGAAAGGGGAAATTAATAAAATTTAAAACTTTCCTAAGGATAAATTCCGGACGAAAAACAGAAATCAGAATCTTACTTAAATAAATATGTATTCCGGAAAAAAATCAGAATTTAAAATATAACCAGAACTAAAAGATTTTCCGGAAGAATACAAAACCAGAATTTACTAAATTTACCAAAACATCCCAGAAAATATAAAAACCAGAATTATGTAAATTAACTGTTTCGGAAAATACAAAAAATCAGAATTTACACTTAACTGAAACTATAGAAATGTGTTTCTTTTCCGGAAACAAAAAAAGGAATTTACAGCAACAAAAAGTTTAAAAACACAATAATTTTACCCCTATAAATTCTGAGGTGTTTCTTTCCGGAAAAGAAACACATTATTGTATTATCAGTTTAGCTTTACTGATTTTTGTGTTTTCCGGAAAGTTTAGGGTAAAATTTTGTGTTTTGCAACTTTGTATTTGTATAAATTCTGAGTGTTTGTTTCTTTCCGGAAAAGAAACACTTTTGCTTAAATTCTGATTTTTGTATTTTCCGGTTGTTGTATTTTCCGGAATTATTTGTTGTGTTTTGCGAATAAATGTACAGCCTGCCTTAATATTTTCTTCTTTATTTTTTCAATGTTTTTCTCTCTCAAAACCAAATTTACCACCAATCTTAAGACATTAAAGATCAGCAGAAAAAATATTAGAGAAAATTTAAACAAACAACCACACACTTGTTTATGAAAATGGACAAAATTTAATCATTAAAAAGGAAAAAAAGTAATTCTTAACTTTTGATCTCAACAAAATGTTACAAAAAAATCATGAGGGGAAAAGGGGGAAGTGAAAAGGAAAGTGTGACTTTTGACTCGGCCATAAAATAAATTTTTGTTTTTTTGGGCATGTTTGTGATAATTTAGATGTTTAATCATTTTAGTGGTTGGGGAAGGAATTAAAAATGTTTTTGGGCGTAGAGGAGGTTTCGGCTCTAAATTTTTGTTCCTCTTTGAAGTAGAGTTGGTCGAGAGCGAGGTTAGTCGAGTTGGTCGACCTCGATCTCCGGTGAGGTTCTGGGCGAGGATTGAGACGAGGTTCCGAGGCCCGAGATCAGCAAAATCGAGGTCAAGGTTTGAGAATGGGCGAGGACCTCGGCCTCGGCGAGGCCTCGACCTCGACCAACTCTACTTCGAGGTTTGTTGGTCTAACTAATATTGGAGGGAGATCTTTGAACTAAGACGATAAAAAATTAAACAAACACAATTATTAATAAAATAATGGACATAAATTAAACTGATTTATTAAATAAATGTGAATAAAAAAGAATTTTTTACCTTTTGATCTGAACGAAATGTGACAAAAAATAGGAGGGGTATACCTATTTCTAGTTGATACTTTTGAGAGACCAAAGGTTTCAATGAAATTTTTTTGCTGAAAAAAAATTTTTTCAAAAAATTTTTTTCAGCGAAACTTTTAATCAATGAGCATTACCTTCTTACAAGGGAACCACTCGAACTGTGGTAGAAAATTTTTAAATAAAAATTATAACATCGTGTAGAGCATGGTCGACAACCTTTTGCCAGATTTCAGTGTTTTTGGCCCTACCCTCCTAATCGGAAAGTTATGGCTGATCAAAGTTGAGGCCTTTTGGAGCGGCTCATTCTGAGTCTCCTACGTTTTCTCATTTTCCTTGTCTCCCTCACTTTTTTTATTAAAAGAGAGACTTCAACAAATACCTCAAACTCAATCATAGGGTAACTCCAAGGCAGAGCTTGTGAAATTGAACTCTAAAAATGGAAAGATTATAGGACAAAACAAGGACTTAAAAGGGACTGCGCCGAACAGTAGAGTTGTTCCTTCCCATATTATCTTCCTTTTTTTGTTCGTCTTTTGTGTCTTATATTATAAATTTGAGCGAATTGTGCTCATTTTGGTAAACAACTTTTATTAGAATATAGTTTGTTAATTTTTATCAAGTGTTTTCCCAATTTTTTCAATAAAATTTATAATCCCGCCCATCACATGCTGCATTATAAAAAATACTAAAAATCTGGCAATTTTGTTCCATTCGGACAAAAATAACAAAAAAACCCTCAGTTTCGTGCTGTATCTTTTGGCAATTGGTGAAAAAACAGAAGATACTGCCTTTACATTTTAACAAGCTCTACAGCTTTTAGAAGGCCTTGGAAGGCTTTTAGAAGGGATATAACTGCCTATTTGCCTTTTCAAAGGGTTATAGAAGAGGGTCTCCAATTTCAAAAAATATGAGACGGGAAACGGGAGAGAGCGGAATCACCAACCCGTAACTAGAAATTTATAAGAAATGCTCTCTGTATTCCATCTTGACAAAGAAGAGGCTGTGGGGTGTCCCTGGGGTGTCCACGTTCCCTTGCAGCGAAAATTGTGAAATCTACCAAATTTCATTCTGAAATCCCACGGACACCCCACAGCCTCTCCTTTGTGAGAGCATTTTTTTGTATTCCATCTAGAGAGCATTCCATTAGTATTCCATCCAACGTCCATCAAAAAATTTCTAGAATATTTTTCTAGAGAGGGGCATAAAAATAAAAATTTTTTCTGGTCTGTGGTCTTTAATTTTTACGTAATTTTTCTCCTTTCACATTTAATTAACTTTTAAAAATTTTCTTGATTAATTTCTAGTGTAAAAGTTTAATCTTTCTCCCCTTCAAAAAATTTCCTTGATAAATGGAAGTAAACAATTTTCTCATTAATTTTAATTAATTAAAAAGGGGGAAACCCCCGAGAATTTTGATCATAAAGTTTGTGTATTTAAATATTCTTCTTCCTTTCCCTTTCTCGCTCATTTATTTATTTTCAATTTAATTTGACAAATTACTAATTATTTTCGATAATTGTGGTTTCATTTTAATATTGTAAATTTATTTTAATGGTGATCCTATATATGCATAATATTTTAAAAATTCTGAAAATTTGAGTAAATTCTCTTAAAAACGGCCAACACAATGGTAAACTTAAGTTGGTAAACTTAAGGTAAACTTAGGCTAAACTTAAGTAAAGGTAAGTTGGTAGAACTAAAAATTATGGTAAACTTAAGTAAAGTTAAGTTGGTAAACTTAAAAATTAAGTTGTAAACACATAAAACGCTTTAAATTAAGTTGTAAACTTAAATAAACTTAAATAAACTTAACTAAGCTTAAACAAACTTAAATAAACTTAACTGAGCTTAAAAATAAACCTGAGCAAACTTTAATAAACTTGTTTAAGTTTAAGCTTAAAATTACTAACAGAAATTGTAAAACTTGAATTGCAAACTTAAGTTCACTTAATTTAAAACTTTTTTTTTGTAAACTTAAGTAAGCAAGATTAAAACAAGTTTTAAGTTTATAAACTTAAACTTAAGTTTGCAAGCTTAAACTTAAGAGTGTAAAATACTTTAGTTAGAACTTAAGCATAAGCTTAAATTAAATTGTTAACTTAAGAGTGTGTTTAGTCTATTTTTGAAATGTTTAAATTCCGCCAACTTTTTTGGCGTTATGTATTTTAATTTGAAATTTAATTAATAAATGACATTAGATCCCATTTTGTAGGAGAAAAATAAAAAAATTTTTTTGTTAATTTCTAAAAATTATTTTGAAATATTTTCACAACCTTTGTAAACTTAATTTGGCCGTTTTTAATAGACTTTAATTTTAAATTAATTAATTTCTATATTTATAACTATGCGAAGTGTTAGGATCACCAGTCGTTTTGCTTTAAATAAATTTAAGGTTCGTTTTTAATTTTTTATTCAATTTTTCCGTCTTCTCATTTCCCTCCTATTTTTTTTAATTTTTACAGGTTTTCAAATTAATTGCCCGAATTTTCAATAAAATGACCACTTCATTAGACCCCTTAAAATATTCAATAGAAAATCCTTTAATTGTAATATCTGGATGTACTGGAACTGGAAAGAGCGATTTGGGCGTTGCTATTGCTAAACAATTCAATGGGGAAATTATTAATGCTGATTCTATGCAAATTTATAAAGGTTTGGTCTGGGGATTTTTTTAAATTGTTTTGCGGACAAAATTTGCGGACAAAAAAATTTTTGAAAAAATATTTTAAATCCTTTGTATTTTTTGGAAATTTTCTTTTAATTTTTAAAAATTAATTTTTAGTTTTATATTAAATAATAAATTTTTTTGTCTCAAAAATGGAATTTCCACAAATTCTTCCAATCCTCCAAAGCCTAAAAAATTTTAAAAAATTTAACTGACTCGATTACCACCTACTGACCTTAAAAATTGAAATTGTCGGAAATTAAAGTTGTCCGAATATCCGAATTTTCGGTTAGGGTATCGAATCCGGATATCCGAAAATTTCCAACTATTGTACAACCTCATTAGAAATATTTCTACCTTTTTTTAGTCACGTCCGCAATTTTTGTCCGCAAGTCAATATATCCTTCCCTTTCCCTAACTTATTTTTTTCTTACTAATTATTTAACCGAAATTTTAATATTGAATTTCATTTCCCACTTTCTTTTTTGGGTTACCTTAAAAATACTCGCTCATAGGGGCCATTTAACTTTTGCGGACAAAATTTGCGGAAATTCGTTTTTCATTTTTTTCAATTTTAATTTTTTTCAGGCCTCGATATTTCCTCAAATAAAATGACAAAAGAAGAAATGGAAGGAATTCCCCACCATCTTCTGGGGTTTTTAGAGCCAACAAATTCAGGTTACAATGTCCAAAATTTTCGTGAGGATGCTTTGGAAATTTTAAATAAATTGTGGGCTGAACAAAAATTGCCTGTTATTGTTGGAGGGACTGCTTATTATATTGAATCTGTTATTTTTGATAATAATTTGATTGTTACTGGTGATAGAGGAAAAGGAGGTTTGATTTTGAAAATAATTTTTTTTGATACTAGGTCTATAAGGTTGGGGATCTGAATCCAAGCCCCCCCCATCCCCCAAGAAATGGGGAATGGCAACAAATTTGAGAAGGACCTACTCCCAGAAAAAATTTTTGCTGGCTATGGGACTCTCTCTCCCGCCATCTGACCATGAGCCTTGGCGGGACAGGACGTTAATATGAAAATCGTTCACATAAAATCAGCATCTTTCGCTAATATAAAAATGTCAAGGCGACAAACTGCTAGTTTTGTGTGGACACATACTAGCGTCTTTCACCGACGTCTTGTTTTTGTCTGTCGCAAGAACACGCGTGATTTTTATTTGAACATTGCAGGACTGTAACCAGAATTTTTTCTGGGGCCCTGGAACGTAGTGTAACTCACACCAGTCCAACCAAGGGCTTATAAGGGTAGGATCAAGTCATTTTCCAGTTGATTCTGCGGGTATAGCAAGTAGTTAAAGAACACACTATAATCCCTCTTTTTTGCTTCAAACGAGATTATTTAACGAGTTTCAATTAGGGGTTGAGTCAATAGCCAAGACCTCGTGGTCTTCCCTTTAAAAAATTTGATAAAAATTGTCATTTTTTAGAAACAATCCGCGAAGAAATACTCAAAGAATTCCCTACAGTCGATACACTTTATCAAGAACTTCAACGAGTAGATCCAGAAACAGCATCAGAGCTTCACAGAAATAACAAACATCGAGTATTGCGGGCACTCGAAATTTATCGAACTACGGGGAAAACTAGAAGTGAACATCAAAAAGAGCAACAAAAAGAGGCTCCAGGTTTTGTTTTTGTGTGAATAAAATTCTTGGGGTTTCCCTTTCCTTCTTTATTTAATGGAAATTAATGAGAAAATTGTTTACTTTTCATATCACAAAAACTTGTTCAAAAAATATTTTTAAAAGTTAATTATAATTAATTAAAAGGGAAGGGAGACACTCTCTACATATGTAAAATAAAGTAAAGACCACAAAATCAAAATAATTTTTTATGTTTTTTTTGAAATTAATCTTTAATTTTGGGGATGGGTGAGGGGAACAACTTTTCTTTTTTTTTATTTAACTGATTATTTAACAGTATTATTGGGAAGTATCAATGTAACTTAAAAAGGATAAGCTTAAGGCCATTATCGAGTTGGGCCAATTCTGATGTGTTGTGTGTTTTATGGCTCCAACCTTATTTAAGCTCTTGGCTCAGGCTCCGGGCATTTCAAATTCTTAACTCCGTCTCCGGCAGAAAGCATGCTCCGAAACTATCTCTCGGAGTTATACTCAGCATCCAAGTGCGTACCCAGGGGGAGCTAGCCGACTCTCTAGCTCACTAAGATAGCCAAGACGTCGTGTTTATCTTTTTTGGGCAAATTTAGGTAAAAAAGGGCTTCTTTCTGCTAATCTAAATTTCTAAAATTCTTTAAAATTTAATTTTTTTCAGAAGGTTATGATCATTTTTATACTCGTCTGCGTTTCAAAAATACATTTTTAATTAATTTGGATATGGAAAAAGATGTTTTAAATGAAAGATTAAATAAAAGAGTTGATAAAATGATGGAAAGGGGTTTATTAAAAGAAGTTACAGATTTTTATGATGAGGTTTGATTTTTTTGATATTATTTTTGATATTATTTTTTACCTGGTTGGGTGAGGTTGAGAAAGAAAATCGGGTCGGGTTTTCTTAATTTTTTGGATCTGAAAATATCCTGGGGGTTCAGGTGTCGATTTAACGTTTCGACGCTATCTATGGATGTTGATCAATTTTTACAAAAAAAAAACTTAATTTTCCAAAAATTTTGAAATAAAGGAGGACTGAATGCTCGTTCAGCAATACTTTCCCTTACTTTGGAGCCCCTATAACTTTCCAAAAAGATTGTTCAGTAGTCAAAAAATATTGGTGATTCAAAAAAACGTCTTCCTCTCCCATAGAAACCAGGGATCTAGCCGACCCGATTCCTAAAAATAGTGAATTTAATTTTATGTCGGCTAGATCCCTGATAAACACCTTCCGCCTCTTTTCTGAATTTTTAGTAAAAAAAAATTTATTTTTTTATTTTTCCAGTATTTTGGAAAAGTCGACAAATTCGGAATAATGCAAATAATTGGCCCAAAAGAATTTTTGCCTTATTTACGATTAAATATAATTGGAAGAAATTCAATTAGAGGAGAACACAAAATTGAAGAATGCAAAGAAAAATTAAAAACAAGAAATAGACAATATGCACAGAGACAGAGGCTTTGGTTTTACAATAGAATTTTGAATAGAGGAGAACATAGAGAGGTTTTTGTTTTGTTTATTTTTTGTGATTGGGGAAAAAATTTTTTGGATAAGGAAAATGGGTAAGGGTAGCCTAAATCACTTAGAATCGGTGAAAATTTTTTCGTTTTTTACGATGTCAGTTATGCCTTTTTTTCGTCCTTTGTCTTTAATTTAGTTTCGTTTTTCACCCTTTTCTTTTTGGGGATTTTTAAATCAATTTAGTCTGTAGGCTGGCTAATCCAGGGAACTTCCCCGGATGTTTAAAACCAATGTCCGAACTGAAATTTTTTTGGATATTTGGCCTTTTCAAATCCGGGTCCTCAAATCCTACTTTTGGATACACCTTTGATGTATTTTTTAAAAAATTTGAAGAAATGGGGTGTTTTTTGGAAAAAGAACCTCTCTCTATCGTCAGTTTGGGTTCTCATTATTTACCTAAAATTCAGTTTTGGTTCCGGTTATCCGAAGAACATTTTTTTTCGAACTGACAATCCTAGCCCTCAAAATCTATTTTCCTCTGAAATTAAAACCTTGTGGTTTATACAATTTCAAAAAAAATTTTTTTTTATTTTTAAAATTTTTTTAATTAATTTTTTCATAATTTTTTTAAGATACCAAAAACCTTAGCATTAAATTCCTCAAAAGATTTTGCCGAAAAATTGGTCCCATTTGCATTAAAACAAGTAAAACAATTTTTGTCTGGAGAAGAAATTGATGATGAAAAAAAATGTAATGGATTATTATATAAATTACCACCATTGGGAGACATATTTAAACAAGAAGATTATATGGAAAATAGGAAAAAAATTTTCCTGTGTGATATTTGTGGAACAGAAATTCAGGGAAAAATGCATTGGAAAAAACATTTGGAAGGAAGAAAACATAAAAATAATTTGGAAAAAATAAAAAAGAAGAAAGGAAGGAATGATAATCAAGGATAAAAAATTTGAAAAAAAATATTTTTTAATAGAGTAAAAAATTTTGGTGAACCCCCTCAAAAATTTAGCTTTTTGTCGGTTTTTTACCCGTTGTACCATTTTGTCCTATTTTAGCCTTGGTACCTTTTTGTCGTTTTTTGACCGTGGTACCATTTTGTCATCTTTAGCCGTTGTACCTTTTTGTCGTTTTTACCCATAGTAAAACGAATACATTTTTGTCGTTATTAATTCTGTGTATATTCCGGAATTTGTCTCTCTTATATAATTGCATATTGTGACATACTCTCTAGCTTTTGTGTCTATTCAAATCCGGAAAAATCTAATAGTAAATCTATGCAATTAATAAGAGAGAAAATTAGTACAAAATGGACTTTAATTTTAGAACTAGTAGATTTTAATTTTTACATCCTCACACTTTAATTAATTGAATAAATAAAGACCTCTTACAAATTTTTTTAAAAATCATTTTTCATAATTGGACATTGACATCTCTAGCCTTTGTCTCAACAAAATAGTTCTTCCTTCTGCTCTCTCAATTTTAATCCGAAAGGCTAATTCTACTCTAAACACTTGAACAAGCCTTTAAAACCTAGGCTTCTCCAGCACTCAAGATTTTAATCCTCCCTATAAGGGAGGAAAGCGCCGTTCCCGGAGGTAAGTGCAAGACCGGGCCGACGCGCGGCAGAGAGGAAGCAAGCTTCCAACTCTTACCCTTTTCCAAAAATTGGTTAATCTCTTTGATCCCGGTAGGGATCGTTACGGAGATTAAGCCGTAAAGAACAGATACTACACTTTGATCTTAGCCAAAAGGCCGAGAAGCGATAAGTGAACGTGGAAAAGTAAAATATAAATGGAATTTACTTTAAAAAATATTAAACAAGTTGTAAAGGAGTATATGAGAAATTGAACGAAATAGTTTTCCTACTAAAAGAAAAGATGTAAGAGAAATAAGAGGGACAAAAGAAGAGAGAAAGAAAGAAGAAAAATAATGTCCTTCTAAAGAAGAGGTGACGCTTTCTGTTATTAACGACAAAATGTTATGTAGGGTAAAAATCGACAAAATGCCACAAAAAGTAATGCGAAAAAATGTCACTAAGGGGTAAAATCGACATTTTGTCACAAATGATAAAATTTATTTTGGCGTTGTGTTAATTTTCTTGGCGTTAATTTTATTTGGTGTTTTGCCAATTTATTTATCAAAAAGTTAACTTTTTTGCTTATTTTTTTCTGTGTTTTTCGTTCTTTTTCGTTTTTTTTTGACTCATTTTTGACTCATTTTCCTCAAATTTTTTCAATTTTAGAGAGGTTTTCCAGAGGTTTTTGAAGATTAAAATGGCTGACCAGCAAGATATGACTCCAGATTCATTTTTAAAAGATGAGAACGAAAAGAATCCTGGATCGTATGATGAATTGCACAGGTTTTTGTTGAATTTTATGTTTAATTTTATTGTCTATTTTGCTTGTAGAAAGTGCAAAGAATTGTTCCCGGTCTGTTTTGAAGGAGCTAAAGGAATGGTTCAAAAACCGTTGAGCCAGCGTTTTCAGGTATATTTTATTTTAACCTTGTTTTTATATTTTTAAGTGGGTTAAGCTAAAAGAGCCTTTGGACGTTTGACCTTGAACTCGTTTTCAAGTGATGACTTTTTGGGTTATTGAGATTGAGTCAAGAATTTCTAGGAGCTTTGAAAATGCCTCTGATTTTGATTCCCAAACTTGAAAAAACTTTAACGAGGACTGGGTCCAGATCCCAGCTTTTTTCTAATTAGTGTTTGGATTTACCTCAGGAGTGAGTCGGGTTATCCGAAATCTGGACTGTTTTCCGTCTCGAGAACTTTTCGAAAAACTGACCTGACTTTTTTCTCAACCCGACCCAAAGATCCAAGCCTCTTTTTAATTAGTGATTTGGATTTACATCAGGGAAGAGTCGGGTTATCTTAAATTTGGACTGTTCCGACTCGAGGACGCTCGAAAACCCGACCTGACTTTTCTCCCGTCCATGCCCACCCATGATCTACTCATGTTTTCATTCAAAGTCAAGTCCAAAAGGAGGTCTTTCATCATTCCTCAAATTTTTCTTTGGCCGAACAGCTTGAAAATTTTTTTAAAAATGTGATGAATCACTCATTTTAAGAATTTTTTGAATTTTTCTCCAACATTCGTCCTAAAATTAATGTATTTTTCAGATTTCTCATAGTATGAGCATTTCTCAAGCGGCCACAGGTTATCGTTTGGGAGCTACTTATGTTGGCACTAAACTAACTGGTCCAGGCGAGGCATTTCCTGTTTTGTTGGGTGATATGGATTTGTTTGGGAATACTGCTGGGACTATTATACATCAAATTGGACGATATCGGATGAAGTTACAAGGACAAGTTCAAGTTGGTTTTTTTAAAGTTTTTAATTTTATATTAGTAGGCCAAAAAATTCGCTACGGGCCTGTTCGTCTAAAACAAGAATTGTTTTAAAAATCTCATTTAAATTGTGGAGAACGTTTTACATATTTCGAGTGCGTCGTGGGCCTCAAAAATCTGGTTTATTTTTTGGGGACAGGATACTTGATGGGCATACCTGATGGGTTCTGTTTTAGACGAATATAGGTTGTGTTTTAAAGGTGTTTAAAACTTGTTTCAATTTTTTACTTTTCTGGAGCATTTTCCAATTTTTCGGTTTTATTCCACGTAGTTCAAACTCCAACTTTTCTTTTTTTTATTTCAATATTTAGATGAGTAAATTAGCTGCTGCACAAGTTTCACTTGAACGGCGTGGACGCCTTTCAACAATCGGAATGACTTTGGCAAATTTAAATCCATTTAATGGTAATGGTGTTTTTGTTGCCCAATATCTTCGAAGGCTGACTGAACGATTAGATTTGGGTGCTGAATTTGTTTATCAGAAGGATCCGAGAATGCCAGGTTTTTTTAATAAATTTATTGGGTAGGCTAGCAATGTGTATTTTTCAACTTAGGATTTGGAAGACTTTTTGGGCTTTTGAATAACTTATCTTTACTTCAACCCATACTGAAGAATTATGGTTGGGGTTGCGGTTAAGCTTTGATTAACCGAAGAATTTTGTGTAAATTCGACAACCCTAACTTTGGATACATCGAGTTTCTTGTTGTTTATTCCCATTTTATGCTAAAATTTTGAGGAGCTCCTAGACTGTGGGTATTACTTTTGTTTCATTTATTGTTCTTACTGCAATTTAGGGGAGCTGCCTGGATTATGTGTATTAATTTGGACCCTTTCAGTATCCTTTTGGAATCATAAAAAGCTCATTCGAAAATTCCTCCAAAACAACAAAAATAGGAAGCAAAAATCGGCTGGATATGGAGTCTTTTCAACCCAAAAAATCTAAAAATTAATGCTTACAGTTTGTGTAGATTCCTAGCTTTTTTTCTTAAGAAACCATTAAAATGTATTTTTGGATGGACTAACAAACAATTTTATCAATTTCACATTAAAAAATAATTTTTTTCTTTAAATAGGAGGTCAAATCAGCGCCCTTTCTTATGCTGCTCGTTATACTATGCCTGATTATATATTTTCTGGATCTACAGCAATTAATTCTGCTACAGCTTCTTTTACTACAGCTCATTTATGTTATTACCATAAACAGAGTGATCATTTGCAATTTGGTGTTGAATTGGAAGCGAATTTTCGTATGCAGGTTTATAAGGATTTTTTTGTTGTTGTGTTAATAATGTTGGGGGTCCCTTGTAAGATATCACTAGGATTGTCAACTTGTCTCCAAGTATAGTGAGTAAGGACGTAAACAGGTGGCCGATTTCAGAGGGGGGGGGGGGGGGCTAAAATGGGGTTTGCACCAAAATTTTGGTGTTTGTATTGGCGTTTCGAACGCACATTTTTTATACATATATTTTTCTATCTTTTCGACATTTTGAGAATTTTGGAGGTTGTAAAAGATGCCATTTCTTTTCCTATTATGACCATTTCCCTTCCCTTATTGACCATTTCCCTTCCTAAAATTTTCTATTTTCTCCTATTTTGAGGGTGGGTGGCTTCTAATCCTGAGGGTATCTTATATAGTTCCGACTAATGAGGAAAATAGCTGGAAGCAAAAAACTTATCAATTGATAACTCAGAAGAAATCTTTTTTGCCCAGTCAAGAAAGAGGTTTCTTGAACGAATTTTCTCTGCCGTCTCTCATTTTCCTGTAATCTTTTAATTTTCTCTGATTTTTCAAAAAGAATTTTTTTTTGATTTTCTATATTAAAATTTAATTTTTTTAAGGATGTAAATACGACATTTGCTTATCAAATAGAAATTCCCGATTCAATAATTTTACGTGCTTGTTGTGATACAAATTGGACTGTTGGAGCTGTTTTAGAAAAGAAATTATCAAAACAATTTCCTTTTACTTTAGCCTTAAGTGGAATGCTCAATCATGTTAAATCACAGGGAAGATTTGGAATTGGATTAATTGTTGGTTGAAAATTTAAGAAATATTTTTCAAAATTTTTTAGTGAGAAACTCAATAAAAAAAATTAATTTAAGAAAAAAATATTGCTATTTTTGTGGTAAATTTGTAGGGTGACATCCTTTCTTCCTTCATCTATTCCAAAATTACCCTCCATTTGTAGATGGCAAAAAAAAAACAATCTTTCTTAAAGGATTCAATTATTCAAGGTCTATCCTTCTTCCACTTGAAGAGGTCTTATATTAGAGAGAGGAGAGAAGACAGGCCTCTAGCTCTTTCTTTTTTACTCATCCACAGTTTCACTCACCCAAGTTTAAGATGAATCCCCACATAAACGCCTAATAACGGTCATAAGTTGTAGAAAGTAGCGCTTGTGGTACTTATTGCCACAACTTCCTTTTTGGCTAGTCAGCGCAGGCCCGTAGCCAGGGGGGGTAGGGGGGGGGGGAATTCCCCCCCCCCCCCCCCCCCGAAATGGGAAAAAGGGAAAAATTTGGGGAAGGGCTGGGGCAAAAAAGTGAATTTTTTTGGCCTACGGCCTTCTAAAATTCTCAAAATTTTCGCCTGCGGCGCTGAAAATAAAAATTTTTGGCGCCGAAGGCGCCAAAAATTTCCCCCCCCCCCCCTTGGCCCCCCCCCCGAAAAAAAATCCTGGCTAAGGGCCTGAGTCAGCGGCAAATAACATGGGAATTTTGGGAGAGTTGGAAAAGGGTGTCACTTAAATAAACGACAATTTTACATTTTTTTTTGTTTTTTCGTTTGTTTTTCTGTTGTTGGAAAATTTTTTGCTGGCAATTTAACGGAGAAAAGTATAGACCAATACACACTTTATTATATTTTTTTAGTAATTTTCCACTTTTATTGTTGTTCAAGTTTTAAATTTAAAGAAAAAAAAGAAAAATATACGCGTATATGTATTCTGGTTTTATTTAGTTCAACGAGTATTGAATATATTCCGGAAATTCTGGGTTTTAAAATTTTTGAATTAAGTTGCTGACCTTGCCATTGGTGTCGACTCCCTTCCCTTTTTTGACCTTTTTGTGGCTCTAATTAGGGTTGGGGTTTTCGAGTCGGAACGACGTTTGAGTCTTTTTTTTCGGGTCGGCCCGACCGAGTCTTTTTCGGGCCAAAATTTAGTGCCCAACTCGATCTTTCGGACCGGGCCCCCAACCCTATTTTTAATATTCCTATTCTGCCTCTTTCTAGCTACTTTGTTTATCAACTTAGCCTTCAGTATATATGCAAATCCATCTCATATTGTTGTCGGGACCTCTTAGAAATGAGTGGAAATGAAACAAAAAAATAGAGGAGGGCACATAATGGTGGTCATTTGCTTTTGCATAGACCAAAGACTAAAATTTAGTCGTTCCTTACTATGTAGGAAAAGGCTTAAGCCAAGCTTTAACTACTCTTATGTATTAATCAATTTCTTTCCCCTATTTTCTTCAATTTTACCATCCCATTAAAGCAAATAAATGATTTAAATTGTTTAAAATAGACAGAATTTTATGCTTTTAAAGGGACCTGCCAAGGAATCTACACTTCGAAAACCTACACCATGAAGACCTCTGGGTGAGGTCTTCAATGAGGTTTTGAGGTCTTGTGAGGTCTTCAACTCCTCTTAAATCACCCCAGATCTATCGATATCCCCTTTTTTCCAAGTTCCCCGATGGTCCCTTTTGATAATCCCTTGCAAAAATTGTAAGTTTCGGAGGTGGTGGACTTTTTTCGGAGGTGGACTCTTTAATTTTATTTACCTGATTAAAATTTAAAATTTTTTTTTATAAATTGCCGACAGAACTTTAAATTTAAAATTAAATCTACCAAAATTTAAAAATTTTATTAATTACAGATCTTTCTCTGTCTCTATCTACTCTTCATATTTTTGTCTCCTTTTTTAAAGTAAGTTAAAAAATTTTTAAATTTTAAAAAACTTGAATTTTTAAGGTATTTGCGGGGCCCGGAGGCCCCTTCCAAAAATTTAGTCGCCTTAAGACGACCCTTTCGGCGCTCCTTTCGCCGGCGAGCCAATCTTGCTCTCAAACGTTGATTTCGCTCCGATACAAATATCGTCCTCAGCATATTGAAAATGTCTGGGAACGGTATTGATGTGAGCTTTGGTGACATGGGGGTAAAGTGTTGTTGAGTAGTCAAAAATTTTTGTTTCCGATATATAATCCGTGAATTATATATGGCGACGTGAAGAAGGGTAAAAGGTAAATAAATAACTCATTTGTAAAAATACAAAAATCAAAAGGTTGCAAATTTTGCAAAAAATGAGGAAAATTAGTCATAATTATCATCCCTAATTTTATCACTCTATTTCTCTGTCTCTCCCAATATTTCTCCCTATTCTATCTTCCCTCACTGTATTCTAATTTTCCTTAAATGAGTGAGGATGATCGTCAAGAACTCATTCCTTTTCTCTCCTTAATAAGAAGTACAAAAATTGCGGACTTCCGACAATTGCGGACAAAAACTTACCTGTCAAAATTTGGGCCACCAATAGATACAACAATCATGTATAGGACCAAGTCCGCGTGGTAGTGATTTTAGTGGTAGTATATTATAGATTTAACTCACTATATCAATATTTACTTTAACAGACAGCTTTGTAAGCGTCTGCAATTTTTTGTCCGCAAATGTCGTTAAATCTTTTAATAAATTATTTATAAATTATTTTCAATAAATTTAATATTTTCATTAAAATTTAATTAAAATTTTGTTTAATTTTTAGGTAGCGATCAACGTTTGCCCCCTCCCATCCCCTTTCATTCATCTCTCATCTAAATTGTAGGTAAATAAAATCTAATTGTAGGTCTGTCGGCAATTTATAAAATTAAAAATAAAATTTAATTTTATTATCCATAATAATTTTTTACTCAATTTTTGAAAATAAATTTTATTGACTCAATACAGGTTTTTTATTTTTCATTGTGTCTCTCGGGCTTCTGTTGGACAAAACCGGATTGATCAAATGAATTACAATTGAGAAAATACATTAAAAATCAGCTTAAATAAATATAAACATTTTCCGGAAAACACAAAAATCCTGAAGGTTTCCGGAAACTAAAAACTCAAACATCAACTACTATAATTAAGAAACTTCCTAGCTTAAACAGTTTTCCGGAAAATACAAATTCTTATTTCTGAATTTAAAACACACACATTCCGGAAAATACAGAATAAATTGTGTGATATATTTTTCCGGAAAATACAAAAAGTGTTTTACTTTCCGGATTAATTTCAAAATTTATTTCGAAATTATTTCAGCTTTTTAAACAGTTTTCCGGAAAATACAAAGTTTCTATTTAAAACACACACGCATATTTCGAAAAATACAAAATAAAATATAATCTATTTCGGAAAATACAAATAATATTCATTTTCCGGAATTATTTCCGAATTCAATATTTATGGTTAATAAATTTTCCGGAAAACACAAAAAAATTCTAAAGTCTTTCCGGAAACTAATTAATAAACATTTTAATTTAAACAGTTTTTCTTAAAATTCTGATCAGAGAAATCTTCTTAATTAATATTATTTTAAATTATACATATGCTTTAAATAAATTTACAAATTTTTAAAAATACAGATTAAATTAATTTAAAAAATTTATTTTTATTAAAAATCCAAATTTTTTCTACTTTTATTATTCTGGAAAAAATCCTTTCATTTCCCTCCATTTTTCCTTCCAATGGTCATTTTTCTCCCTACTAGCTTGTTGCCTCCCCCTCCTATATTTGTGGAAAGTGTTAGAACCACCAAAAACATTTTCCAACTAAAAATAGCTATATAAATAAATTTAAAAAATATATCTCCCTCCCTCTTTTCTCCCATTTTTGGCGCTATTATCTGCAAAAAAACCGCGGCTATCTTTTTTTTCTCTCCTTTTTTCTTCCCGCTTTTTTTATATTCACCGACTCATCCTTACCCAGAGTCTAAAGCTTTTTTGGGGGGCATTCTCTGGGGAGTTCCGAATAATTTATTTCTCACTTCTTTAGTTGAGCTCTTCTTTAAGCTTATTGTTGTTGACTGGCCTTTACTTGGACTCCTCTTTTTATGGAATGAAAAGCTGTTTATCCTCTTCTTTATTGGGTTGGTATTTTTTGAGTGAATCCATCCTTGACTTTAAATTTGTTTTTTAAATATTTTTGTTTTGTTTTGTAATTGTAGGATACATAACACCCTCACTTTTATTTTGCCCCTTCCCCCGGTAGGTTGAAACAGTAATATTACCTTCCCTAAAACTTTCTAGAGAGAGGTTGAAACAATTACCCAGAGTAATTGTTTGAGCATATAACTATGAAGGAGTTGCTGTGAAGTCCGGTCCGCTAAAGATGTTGGTTCTCTCCCAGCCGCCTAAATAACCTTTTACGTTCTCTCTCTTCCATTGAATGTCCCCTTCTAATAGAATAATTGAAAAAACAGAAGCTTGGGCATTCTATCAGAGGAAATATCTTATCCTTAAAGTTCCTCTTGCCTCTCTCCATTGTCATCCAATGTTCCAATATATCCCTTCAGGAAATCCATGTTTAATGCTCATCCCTCTTTCCCTTATAGTAAAAACAAAGCAGCTCCTTTGTGAACTAATATTTTTTCCCTTTCTTTTCCGGAAACTTGTTTTTTGTCAATTTTTATTTGTCTTTTTTGTTAACATTAGAAAATCGGTTAATTTAATTGGACCAAAAACGGGTAGCGGTCTGGAACAAATAAAAATGGTGGGGGAAGGAAATGGAGTTTAAGAAGAAGAAAAAAAAGATGGTTGCTTTAGAACGATTTTTCAGATTTTTTATTCAGTCAAATAAATTTTATTTTTAAAGATTTTTAATAGTTCGTTTACAATCTTGCTTATTTTAAAGCTTGTTTTAAAGTTTGTGTTTATGTTGTTTTTCAAGTTTGTTGTCTATGTTTTAATTCAAGTTTGTTCTTAAGTTTGTTTTTAAGTTTGCTTATAAGTTTGTTCTTAAACTTTGTTTTTAAGAGTGTTCTCAAGATTGTTTTTAAGTTTGCCCTTAAATTTGTTTTTAAGAGTATTCTCAAGATTGTATTAAGTTTGATCTTAAGTTTGTTTTAGTATTGTTTCAAGTTTGTTTTCAAGTTTTGTTGTCTATGTTTTAATTCAAGTTTGTTCTCATGTTTGTGTTAGGGTTGTTTTTAAGTTTGTTCTCAATTTTGTTTTCAAGTTTGATCTTAAGTTTGTTTTTAAGTTTGTTTCAAGTTTGTTTTTGTCTCAAGTTTGTTTCAAGTTTGTTCTTAAGTTTTCTTTGGTATTTTTTTCAAGTTTGCACTTGTTTTCTTTTACAAGTTTGCTATTTCGACAAGTTTATTCATAAGTTTTCAAGTTTAATCTCAATTTCAAGTTTCTTATTGCTTCAGGTTTTATACCAAAATTTAATTGCTTTTATCAGCCGTGGATTGGCTTCAAAAAAATTTATTGGCCGCTGCCGTCAGTATTTCTCCTACTCATCGAAGCTCATCATCCCTTAATTATAGGAAGAATGTTCAAGGAAAATCGAATTCTACTCCTATTGTTGATGTTGACCAACAAGTGGCAAGTTTTTTAAATTTATTTTTCGATCAAAAAAGTCAACAAGTTCAAGCAGTACTTGTTGATGGACGTTCAAGTAGTACTTGATATACGCGTTCAAGCAGTACGCGTGAATAAGTTTAAGCAGTACTTGTTGATGAACAAGTTCAAGCAGTACTTGTCCTTCAACAAGTTCAGATAGTACTTGTTGATGAACAAGTTCAATCAGTACATGTAGATGACCATTATAATTTTTTTAGATTCTCCTAGCTCGAAGCACTAGCAGTAGTGGGAGTGGAAGTTGTTTACATGCTACAACATCTACAGCCGTTGCTGAGAGTTGCTCAAGTTTCACTCCAGAAAAGAAGAATACTTCAAAAGCTAATATTAAAACAACACCCCAGAAAAGCCCAAAACACCTTCCAAATTCTAATGAAAAAATAAAAATAAAAGAATTTCAAAAAAAGAAATTAAAAAATCAGCAACAAATAAATAATCCAAACAATTATTTTATTGACGATGAACTTTTTGGTAGTGGAAAGGAATTATACACTTCTGTGGAGACGGAAACTACAGGATTATCATCAGCTCAATCTGAGGAGAAAAAGCAAAGAAATGGGAGCGTTCCTAAAAGTAATGGGACAAGTAAATATCATCATACAAACAAAGCTTTTCAATGTAGGTTTTTGTTTAGGATATGTTTTGTTGTTGTTGCAAACTTAAAACAAAAAACTTAAAAGCTTAACTTTTAATAACATTAAACTCAAACTTAAAGTTTTACAAACTTGAAAATAAATAAACTTTAAAACATACAAATAAACCTTTTAAATAAATAAACTTTTTTTGCAAACTTAAAAAGTTGCAAACTTAAGAGAATTTTTCAAGCTAGAAAATAAATAAACTTTAAAACTTGACTTTTTAATAACAAACTTAAACAAGTTTTACAAACTTGCAAACACGTAAACTTTAAAAACTTTTAAAAACTTAACAAACTTTTGTAAAATTAATAAACTTTTTTTTTTGCAAATTTAAATGTCAAGTTTGTTGTAAATTTAAAAAGTTGCAAGCTTAAAAAAGTTTTACAAACTTGCTAATTTTAAAAACATAATGAATTAACTAGCTTAAAAAATTTTTTTATAATTAAAAAGTCAACAATCAAAATTAGGGTAGCAACCCGACCCTTCGAGGGCGGGTGTGTCGGGGATCAGGTTGCCGGGCAAGGCATGTCGGGGTTCGGGTTGGGGTTTTTGCTAAAATCCGTCGAGGTTTTCGGGGTGGGGTTGCTACCTTAATCAAAATACAATAAATGAAACATTTAAAACATTCATTAAATATTCTCTCACTTTCAATTACCAACCACTTATTCTATTGAGAATCTAAATGTATTAGTTTACAAAAATAGCAAACTACAACCCTTTGTAAATATGCAAAGTGCAGCGCAAACTTTAAAAAAGCATTTAAAAAATTCTCTCCATTCCCTTTTTTATTTGAACTTTTCTAAAAATAGTAACAAACTACGAGAGCACGCGTGCTTGTTATTTTTAATGTCAGTCCACCCCTCACGATTTTTTAAAAGCAAAAACTCAATACAAACATTTTCTCTTTTCTCTCCTTATTTTATTCTCCGTTTTCGCTTTTTGACCATTTTTTCATTAAAATTTTTAAAATTATTTTTTATTCCCTTTTTTGTCATTTATACATAAATTGTGTTTAATAGTGAACAATCTTTGATTGAAAAAATATTTTTTAATTAAAGAATTGATCAACAAAAAATTCTATATAAATTTCTGATTTTTTATAATCATTCTAAATTTAATAATTTTAAAATTCTTTCCTTATCAACTTCCATTTTTTCCTTTTTAGAATAAATAATCTTTGTGTTCCTTGCTATCTTTTTTTTATTTTAGTCTTAATAATTAATTGTGGGAATTTATGAGCAAACTTTCATAACGTTCCATTAGCTGAGAATAAACTTAAGTTTACAATTCTTAGTAAATTAAAATAGTTTAAAAGAGCGCAAAAATAAAACTACAAATTGTACAATATAGGTAACTTAAGATTGCAATTCTCAAAAAATCAGCATTGGAGTGCAATTTAAAATAAACTTGGATTTTTACAATTTGTAAATAATAAATAAAATTACAAATTGTAAAAATAAATAAACTTTAAATTACAATTTGTAAAGTTAAATAAACTTTAAATTACAATTTGTAAAAATAAATAAACTTGGATTTGCAATTTGTAAAAATAAATAAACTTTAAATTACAATTTGTAAAGTTAAATAAACTTTAAATTACAATTTGTAAAAAAATAAACTTTGATTTACAATTTGTAAAAATAAATAAACTTGAATTTGCAATTTTAAATAAACTTGAATTAATAATAAAATAAACTTTATTTTTACAATTTGTAAAAAATAAACTTAAGATTACAATCTTTCTCTTATGAACATTAAAATTCCATTAAAAACGTTGTAAAAATCTAATTTTTTTGTTTATTTATCTTTCTCATTTTTTCAATTTTATGTAAATAAACTGCTCTTCCTTTTATTAATGTTCATCCTCTTTTTTTATTTTTTTTTCTGTTTATATCCAGTTTGAGCGTGTCTTTTTCAAAATTTATTGGATATTTATTAAATAAATATATTTACATATTAACTTGTTTTTTTAAATTAATTTAATATGTATTTACTTAAAAAACGGGAGAAAATAAGGGATCGGTTTTATAATTTAAATTTTACTTTTTTTTAACCAAATATAGAAAAATACAATTTTTAAATTCCAAGTCTTACAAATTTCAAGTTTACAACCTTTTTTTAAGTCTACAAACCTTTTTTTCTAAATTACAACTTTTTAAGATTGCAACCTTAACCTTTTTTAAGTTTACAACCTTTTTTATGACCTTCAAGTTTACAACCTTTTTAAGCCTTTAGGTTTACAAGCTTCTTAAGTTTGCAACTTTTTTAAGTTTACAAACTTTTTTAAGTTTGTAATCTTTTTTAAGTTTACAAACTTTTTTAAGTTTGTAATCTTTTTTAAGGCTTCAACTTTTTGTAAAGTTGTAGTCTTGTAATTAAATTACAAACTGCAGGCTTATTGTTAGAATTAAAACTTTATTTAACCAAATTTTCAGACTCTCCCCCACCTTTATCACATCATCAACGACAACAACAACCAAAATCTACTACTACCCCATTTCATTTACCTCGACGTCCTTTTCTTCCTACACCATTTATTGCTTGGCCACCAGTGCCAATTTCACCAATAAAGCATTCATTATCCTCCTCTCCTCGTCGAAATAAAACATCGCCTTTAAATGTAAGGGGTTAAAATATTAATTGATTTAATTTAATAAATCCAGACATTTTTAAAATTTTTTGACAAAATAAATTGTCCTTTACCACTTATAATTTGCCCTAAAATCTTTCAGAAGCAGCAACATTCCCCTCTCCGCCAATTATTACACGCTTCATTGAAAGCTCGAAACATCCTCTTATCTCAAAAGTCGGGCACTAGCGGTGGTGAATACTCAAGGTTTCCAGAATCTGAAGAAGGTGGTGATTCGGTAGAAGAAGAACAGCCGTCAACGTCAACTAGAAGGGCGACTAAGGTGTATTACATATTTAAATACCTTATTGCTTTTGTAAAATGTTATTTAATAGAAAAATAAGCTTAGAATTACAATTCAATAAAATAAACTTGAAATTATAATAAAATTACAAATTGTAACAAGTTTAATTTACAATACTATCTGTGTGGAAAATAAACTTTAAATTGTAAATTTTATCAAAGTTTTACAATTTCAAGTTCATTTTTCACAAATTGTAAATTAAACTTTTTACAATTTGTAATTTCATTTTTATTACAATTTTAGTAACTTGAATTGTAAATTGTAAAACTTTTTTTGAAATAATTGTTTCCGTCTTTAAAAAAAAACTTTTCAACTTTTCAAAAAATTTTTCAAATCTTGTATTTAATATTAAATTTTCAGACTCGACAACCTCAACCCCAACAAAGACAAATATTGCAACAACGTATACGACATAGATCTCGAAGCATTTCTTTACGTCCTCTACCTTTAGTTTGTCCTTTGGTTAGTTTCAAAATTTTGGAAACATTTTTTGATTGATTAAAATTTATTTTTGGGGTAAATTGACAAGAGTGTCGCGCGAAAATAGGCCGCCATCAATTTTTTTTTGTTACCAAAAAAAATTAAAAACAGCTTTAAAGTCATTGGTGGCCTTCATTTTATTCCATTTTCCTTTCCCTATATTTACTTTCATATTGATTCTAAAATATTAATTTTGGTTTAAAAAGGACAAATTTTTTTAATTTTTTTTAGATTTTTCATTCCTCATTTTTGGAGGCACACCAATCCCAACAAATGTGCACTTACAAACTTGATGTTATCCTCCAAATGCCTGAACTGCCTTTGGAAGAGGCAGAAAAATACGCCTGGAATTCAGAAGATCATTCAGTCAATGTTTATGTCAAGCCTGATGATAAATTAACAATGCATAGGCATCCGGTTGCTCAAAGTTCGGATGCTATTAGGGCAAAAGTGGGTTTCTGATATTAGTGAAAATTTTGAATGATAGGAAATTGTAATTTAAAAAATAAAAATTATTTTTTAATTTTTACAATAATTGCATATTAATATACCTAATTAAAGTACAATTGAAATTTTAATAAAAAATCTTAAGTTTACAAACTTAAGATTTCTACAAATAAGCATGTAATTAAACTTGAATTTAAATTAAAAGTGCAATCTTAAGTTTTACACCAACAGTGTTTACAATTAAAAAATAAACTTTTTACAATTTGTAGAAATCCAAGTTTATTTTTATTAACTTTTACAATTTGTAAAAATCCAAGTTTATTTTTTATTAATTTTTACAATTTGTAAAAATCCAAGTTTATTTTTTATTATTTTTACAATTTGTAAAAATATCAGTATTTTAATAAAAATAAATACTTTAACAATTTTTAGATTGGATTCTCCCGTGGTTTTCACGTTTGGCAAATAATTTGGCCCGTCCATCAAAGAGGAACACACGCAGCAATAGGGGTAGTAACAAAAAAGGCTTCTTTACGTGTTGCCGGGTATTCCTCACTTATTGGGAACGATGAAGAGGGTTATGGTTGGAATATTGGTGGGAAACTTTTTCTTTCTTTCGAGAATATTTTTGAGTTTCAGTTGATAATAAATGCTACCACGATTCTGCTAACACAAAAGGATGGGTTTATCCAATGCAACCACTTCAAATATCCAACGGTCAACGAGACCAGCAACAAATTACCTCATTCCAAACACCAGAAAAAATTTATTGTATTTTGGATATGGATGAAGGAAAAATGTCTTTCGCTACAGATTCATCATTTTTAGGAACTGCATTTTGTGGATTAAAAGGAAAAAAGTTATACCCAGCAGTTAGCGCAGTATGGGGACATTGTGAAGTTACAATTCGATATATTGGAGGACTTGATCGTGAGATACTAATTATTTTTTAGAAAAATTAAAAAAAAGAAAGTTGAGTTTTTAGTTAAGTTTGCGAATAAATAGTTTTACAAATTGTAAAAAGTTTGAGATTTATTTTTAAGTTCAGACTTAAAACTTTCATTTTACTATTTTAAATTTCAGGTTTATTTAAATCTGACTTAAAGTTTTTACAATTTGTAAAAAGTTTTTTAAGTTTTAACTAATGTAGGTTTACAAATTGTAAATCTAAGTTTTACAATTTGTAAAAACCTTTTAATCTAAGTTTTACAATTTGTAAAAACTTTTAATCTAAGTTTTACAATTTGTAAAAACTTTTTTAAGTTTTAACTAGTGTAGATTTACAAATTGTAAATCTAGGTTTGTACAATTTGTAAAAACTTTTAATCTGTTTTACAATTTGTAAAAAGTTTAAAACTTAACGTTAAACTTTAAACTTGAAATTTACAATTTGTAAAATATTAAACTTTTAAGTTCATGCTTGAAAATAAAACCTCAGATTACAAAACTTTAAGTTTACAATTCTAAGTAAACAACCTTAAAACAACTATAACTAAATTTAAATTCAATTTACTAAAAATTCTATTTTTTAATTACAATTTAAAGCTGAGCCCAGACAACTAATGGATATTTGTCGTAGAAGGATACGTCTCGCTCTAGGCACCAACGGATTGGCGCGAGTGTCCGAATTGAACGTTCCTCCACCTTTAAAACAATATCTTCTCTACAACTGAACAGGCGGGAATAAATAGACACTTTAAATTTTTCAAATTGCAATTTATACAATATTTTTTTGTTTTACAAATTATTTAAAATTTTTGTATATATTATTGAAATATCTGTAATTTTATAAAAGGGAAAAAGAAAAGTAAATTAAATTGAAACGAGAAAAAAGGAGTAAAATAAAGGAAAAATAGGGTAAAGAGAAGAAGATATTGAAAAACAAAAAAAAATTTGAAAAATCCTCAAAAATCCTTTAAAATCCTCCAAAAATCCCCTCTACCTTCCAACCAACGGATTTGCCATTCTTTCACTTCGTTCTGCCCTGAATTGCATTTGTGCACGTTGTTGACGATCCTTTTTCTCTCTTGAATGTTTATACCACTCTAACCAACCGCCAAATCCAAAACATCCGCTAATGTAATTTGTTACTTCGAGTAACCACATAATCTTTTTAATAATTAGAAATTAAACTTTAAATTTTACAAATTGTAAAAATAAAAAGGACCTAACGTTTATAAAATAAACTTGAAAAAATAAAAAATTACAATTTGTAATTACAAATTGTAAAAGTGAAAAGAACTTGATTTCTGTATAAATAAACTTGAATTACAAATTGTAAAAAAATAAACTTAAAATTACAAATTGTAAAAATGTTTTACAAATTGATAAGTTTTAATTCCCGTATAAATAAACTTTAATTACAAATTGTAAAAGTAGGTTTTACAAATTGTAAAAATAAAAGTAACTTAATTTCACTGTAAATAAACTTGAAATGAATAAATTTACAATTTGTAAAAAAGTTTTATAATTTAAAGTTTATTTTTATTTACCTGTCCAAGGAAGGGAACAGCCTTTACAAGCATCATAGTAAAATAAAAAGTAAAAGCAATAGTAGAAAGACTAAGAGACAAAATAGCAGCAACAATACCACATGGAAGAAATATAACGTAGAGAATTAAATACTAAAAAATTTTTTTTAATTTTAAAAAATAAATTTACTATAATCCAGTAAATTATAAGCTGCCAAATTTCAAGTCTGGTCGTAGAAAGTCTTCTCCAAATATTTTCAAGCCATTTCAAAATAAAGTAGGGTGTTCCAAGAGTAACACAAATTGGAGCGATTATCTGGAAAATTCGGAGAAAATTTTTTCAGAATTTTGAAAAAAATTTTTTTTTGACTCACAAACAATCCCAAAGCAACCGCAGGCATAAAATAAGTAAGAATTAATCCACTTGTGAATATTGTAAATGAAACAATGTAGAGTGCTTTGAGTATATCCTCCACTCGAAGTTTGCACTTTAATCCTGAATTTTGTGGGAAAAATTTTTAAAATAAAAATCAAGTTTGTACCAGTAAAATGGGCCCAATTAACATCCTCTTTTCCACAAATCCAACAGAACCAAGTATTGCAATACAAATTTGCACAACGAACATAATTACAACCAACTTTTTGACCGTACAAATTCTGAAAAAAAAAATAATTTTTTTGTGGTTAAGTGGGATGTTGTTAGATTTAGAGGGTGAAGGTTCGAGCCCTTAGCGGATCAAATATTTTTTCCGAAATTCTCCCACCTCACAACGTGGGTAGAACCCACGCCCTTCAAAAAAAAGTATTTTGTGGTTAAGTGGGATGTTGTTTAGATTTAAGGGGTGAAGGTTCGAACACCGAGCGGGTCAAAAAATTTTTTTTGCGAAATTCTCTCACCTTACAACGTGGGTAGAATCTAAGCTCTTCAAAAAAATAAGCATTTGTGGTTAAGTGGGATGCTGTAAAAATTTAGGGGTCTAAAGTTCGAATCCATCGCGGGCCATTCACCATTTGTGGTTAAGTGGGATGTTGCCAAGATTTAGGGGGCGAAGGTTTGAACCCGTAGCGTGTCAAATATTTTTTAAAATTTTTCCCTCACCTCACAACGTGGACAGCATCTACTTCTCTCACCCAATGCGTACTTGATAACGCTCACATCATGCCTTTCCGCAAGCTTTCTTCTCGTTTTAGAATCCATAAAGGGGTCCAAAGCTTCACAATCTGGATTTAAAACTGCAGCAATGTCATTTTCATGCACCCTTTCACGGCAATTCTCCATTGGGCATTTAATACGAGGCTTGTCTTTTTTGATCCATTTCTGGAATTTTTTAGAGAATTTTGGAGGGTCTTTTAAGGAAAGTTTACCTGAACGTGTAGTAACATACATTTAACACAAACAATGTGTCCACATTTATTCTCAGCTCCTCTCATCTTTATCCTCCAAGCTTTGTTTGTTCTGCAAATTACGCATTGTTTCTGAATATCTTTCATTTGTAAAAAAAAATTTTTTTTGAATGCTTTCTGAAACTAAAAAAATCATCTTGAGGGTCGGCAAAATCGCATTCCCGGGATCCCTTAACGGGATTTCTTTCAAAATGTTGTACGGGACGGGATCCGCGGGATTAATCCCGTAAATCCCGTTTGTCGCTAAATACCCAAGATTCCGGGACAGGATCCCGTAAAATCCCGTGCTGGGTCCCGTCCGGTGCCGGGCTCTATTAATGACCTAAGGCTATCGAATGGTACCAATATCGATAACAGATTCACAGTCACAGTAAACTCCTTTTAAAAAGTCCTTAAAAATTTTTCTTTTCGATCCTTGGCGTTCTGTTTAATTAAATGACATTTTATCCCCTACGGTAATAAAAAATAAAAAAATTATTTTTTTAGCAGGATTTTTTATTAGGATTTTTCTTTCATTTTTCCGCTTACTTCGTTCAACTTTTTTTTTATTCCAGATATTTTTTTCCAATTTCTAATGGGTCTAGTCGCTAGTGTTGGCAAAAACAACGATGAATTAGTTGACAATTTGGTTAAACATGATTCAATTAAAAATGAACGGGTTGAGCGGATAATGAGGTTTTTCTTAGAGTTTCTATTAGAATAACGAGTTTTGTCTGTAGACTTGTTGATCGAGGCAAATTTATGCCAGAAAATGCTGTGGAGGAAAATGCTTATAAAGATTCTGCTTGGAAATCGGATTTGGGATTGCCTGGATTTTTACATATTTCTGCTCCGTGTATTTATGCAAATGTATTTTTGTTGTAAATATATTTTTGGGGGTATCCTTATTCTTGAGTTTCCCGTATTAGAAAGCTTTAATTGAAAATTGGATGGTTTTATGAGTCTTCGCAGATTTTTTGATACACCAAACTTTTCCTTTTTGATTTTGGTGGATAAGTTAGTCATCAGAGATCGGCATGGGTTTGGGGTTTTCCTGTACCCAGAGTCCAGGCCTAGACATTTTTTGACCTTCCTGGGGTTTTCCTGTGCCTGGGTTTTTCCTTGACTACAGGCCTAGGATATGGCCCAGGTCAATAAATCAGGCCCCAGAGTCGAGGAGCCGGCCCAGGTTTTTCAGAAATCTCGATCTCTAGTATTCATATAAAGAGGAATCAGCAGAAAAAGAAAAGGAGTCGTTACTGAGCTTGCCGAAATACCAAACTCTGGAAATGACGCCGTAATACCAAACCCCTTTAAGGGCTGTCGAAATACCCGGGGCTCTTACCGAATTGTTTCCATTTCAAAATTTCCGTTGAAGATTTAAAAAAAAATCAATTTCTTCAGGTCCTCGAACATCTTGATTTGCAGAAAGGACAGTCTTTTCTCAATATTGGATCAGGAACGGGTTACCTCAGCACTATGGCAGGCTTCTTTTTAGGTTTCTTTTTCTCTTTCTTTTTATTTTTTTACTTTTCTAGAAGAAAATGGGATCAATCACGGAGTTGAACTTTATGGTATTTTTAAATGTTTAATTCAAAATTGAATTAATTTGCTTTTAGAAAATGTTGCTGATTACGCAGCTGAACGCATTTCTTTGTTTCAATCATCTCCTGAAGCCTGTGCTTTTGAATGGTACGTGTAAGGATAAAACACTGTCCATACAAAACTTGATCTTTTCCAGGATCTAGAGTTAACATAAGATTATTAAAAATATCATCCATTTCGCTTTAGATAACGTTTAAAAGAAAATTTTCAGGCATAAGAGTTCTAGTCCCATATCTAAAAGAACCAAATAGTCGTGAAGTCTAAAATGTTAAAAAAGCATAATATCGAAACAAATTGAATCTTAGAATTGAAAATTTTAAAAAAACCTTTGTTCTTGATTTTGGTCGAGGACCTTGACCAAATCGTTTACCTTAAGGGCAATCAGGAAACACTAAAAAATGTCTTAATCTTAACTCTAGATTTTGGGAAAGATCAAGTTATGGATCCAGATAGAGGCCGACAAGGGCGTATCCAGGGGGGGGCTGGGGGGCTAGAGCCCCCCCGAAACCGACCCCCTGGATACGCCCTTGTTGGCCGATCTCTATCGAATTTATAATATCTGTAAAAATTGACGAGGTTTTTACTTTAATGTCTGGACGGTGTTTTGTCTTTTAATTCAATGGTTTTCAACTTTTTTTAATTCCTAGGTGTTCCCCTACTTATTTTGTTGGAAATGCTTTTCAACTTGAACAAAATACTAATAAATATGACAGAATTTATTGTGGTGCTCTAGTCCCAGAATCTCACCGTGCTTATTTTTGCTCATTTTTAAAAGAGGAGGGAATTTTAGTTATGCCGTATGGACATTCGGTTTTTTTAAAAATTTTTGTAATTTTATTGCAAATAAGAATTAGGTAGGAATAGGATGTGCACATGACTGGTAAAAAATAGGGTTCAACCCCTGTCCTTGGGGAAGGGAATTCCCCGTAGAATTTTATTTGGATTTAGGTGTACTTTAATCTCTTTTTAAGATTCTTCGGGGGGAAGCTTGCGGGAGGCCCCCGTTCTCCGAACCCGAATTCCCGCAAACCCCGTTCCCATATTATCAGCCCCCGCCCCGTAAAATTGAACACTAATTAAAATTGGGTCGTGTTTTCATAAAATTTTTCGGTGTTCGCGTTTTGTGTCGGGCCATTTAGGGGATTAAAAGTGAAAAAATTTGCGTCGGGTTTTGGAAAAAAATTCGTTGATCGGGTATCGGGTCGATTAAAGGGCGGTTTTCCTGACACCCGTGATATCATCTGGTTCAGGCCCGTAGCCAGGGGGGGTGAGGGGGGGAATTCCCCCCCCCCCCCCCCCCCCCGAAATGGGAAAAAGGAAAAAATTTGGGGAAGGGCTGGGGCAAAAAAAGTAATTTTTTTTGGCCTACGGCCTCTGAAATTCAAAAAATTTTCGCCTGGGCGCTAAAAATCAAATTTTTGGCGCCTGCGGCGCCGAAAAAGTGAATTTTTTGGCCTACGGCCTTCTAAAATTCTCAAAATTTTCGCCTGCGGCGCTGAAAATAAAAATTTTTGGCGCCTTCGGCGCTAAAAATTTGGCGCAGAAAAAATTTTCCCCCCTTGGCCCCCCCCCCCCCCCCCCCCCGAAAAAAAATCCTGGCTACAGGCCTGATCTGGTTTTAGGCATATATTCAACAAGAAGGTGGGAAGAGAAGGAAACTAATTTTAAAAAAATTTTTTCTTTTCTAGCTTCAACGTGTTATTCGTAAATCAGAAAAATTGTTTAAAACTCGTGATCTAAGTGCAGTTACGTTTTCTCATTTAATTCCTGTAAATATTGATGACAATTCTCTTTCAAATGGATCTGTTTCGCTTCCACTAATTCAACCTACTTCATTACAATTTTTGTGTAGAAACAAGTTTGTTTATTATTAGAATTTCAAATTAAAAACACAAAACGGGAAATTGGGACTTTTTATAGCGGTTTTTTTGTTTCGACTTTATTCAACAAAGGATCAAGGGCGTAGCCAGGAGGGGAAGAGAGGGAGCTGATCCTTGCAAAAGAGGATATGTCACTCGAAGGGGAACTTCAAAAACCGAGTTGATCCTGCAATCAGAATCGACTCAATCAGGTCGCTGTCATGTCTCTCTGAATCAGGAACCGAGTTACAGACTCGTAAAATTAAAAAAAACCATGGTGGGACCAAGCAGATTTTGGGGTCAAAAACGTTGTCAGAATTGATTCAGAAACAAAAATCGAAAAACCATTTTGTGACCAGGCTAAGAAAATAAGTTCACTCCGAGAATTTTTTTAAGTTATTTAGAATTTTGTTAGCGAATCATTATTGAATTTTAGAATTAATAATTTAAAAATTTTTCCTTTTCAGAATTCGACAATTAATTCGCCAAAAACTTCTTGTTGACAAACCAGTTGAAATTTTTTCGCTTTATGCCAAAAAACATGCCAAAAAAGCTTCTAGTAGTGACGAAAGAAATCAACGGAATCCTTCAAGGGACAATCTTTTCCCTCCTAGGCCTATGGTCTTAAATCCACATTTGCCTCAACTTTTGCCTTTAAGAACTCGTTTTACTTCTGTTGGTATGTTTTTTTACTGTTGGTAAAAAATAAAAACTTGAATAAGAATCTCAATTAGAGAAACTGGATCGCGACTAGATATCTGTCTTAATTTTTCTACGACAGATTTCCTAATTAAGATTGGTTGGAAATTTGGAAAAAAAATTTTTGGAAAGAAAAATTTGGAAAGAAAATTGAAAAAACATCCAAAAAAACTGTTCGGAACCAAAAAACCAGCCGAAATTTTGATTCGGAATTGATTCCGTTTTTGGGTTTTTTTTTGATTCCGTTTTTGGGTTCTAATCCGCCAATTTTCTTATTAAAATCCAATTTTTTAAAGGTACCAACACGAATGGTGATCCTAACAATAATAATAATAGAGCAGCAAATAATAATAATAATGGACGACACAACCACAACAACAACCACCGCCAAATGCTAGCAAATCTTCGCCATACTCACGCTACACAATTTCGTCATCTTTTTGCTTTATTTGCACGTGATCGTATACGTCGTCATCACGAAGCTATTGCTCATCATCATGCTGCTAGAAGAAATGTACTTATAATTAATAATGCTAATGATTCTGATAATGATGAGGAAAATGATGATGATGAAAATGAGCAGCTTGAAATTGAATTACGTGACAATGAACGGCAACAGCGTTTTTATTCGGGACCTGATGATGAAGCTTTTGTAAGAGTTTGTTTCTTTTTTATTTTATGGGACTGACTAAAAATATAGTTGGAACTTACTTGGACTTACTTTACTTGTAGAATAGATTGGTTACTTCTCATGAGGAAACCTTTCGAGCTATGACTTAAAAAATTTTTTGAAAGAAAAATTATACTATTGTATAATAAGGTTGGGGGGAGTAGTTGGAAATCTTTGGATCCGGTATCCAAACCGAAAATTTCTGGATATTCGGCCTTTTTTGGATCCGGATCCGCCAACTTTATTGTATAATCGATAGACTATTACCAAATTTTTTTGCTTTTTTTGGCTTTGCCTCCCATTTTGAAAAGTTACAGGGCTTCAAAGTTATCGACCATGCTCTATACGATGTTAAAATCTTTATTAAAAAAATTTTTTTGGTAATAGCTAGGAAGGTATTTTTCTTATTTTGTCATTAACTATAAGTTTTTCTAATAATAGAAATAATTTTTTTGTCCCACGCCTATAGTTTTTCTTAAGAAAAAAAAATCTTTTTTTTTTAGAATTTTGTATTTGAATCTGAAGATGAGGTTAATAATGAGGATGATGATGAACATGAAGAAGAAGAAGAAGGGGAGGAGGAAGAAGAGGAAAATGTTGAGAATGATGATGATAGTATTGGAAATTATGAGAATGTAGATCGAACAGACAATGAGGATGATGAGAAAAATGAAGCTGTAAATAGTGATGATGCTGATAGTTGGTCAGATAGAAATAATGTTGGTTCGTTATCTTCTTCTGAAAGTTATGGTAATTTAAATAATGATAAGAATGATGATTCGTATAAAACAGCAAAAATGACACCAACAACAACAACAACACCAAAAAAGAAGGCAAAAACAAAATCGAAAAAGTGTAAAAATAAATTGGCACGACTTGGGCTTGAATTATCTTCAGATAATGAGGAGGAAGAGGAAAAAGAAAATGGAGAAGAAAAAGAAGAAGAGGAAGGAAAAGAAGATGTGGAAGAAGATGATGGGCAAGGAGAAAAAGAAAAGGAGGGAGAAAAGGAAGATGATGAGGGAGAAAAAAATGAGGAAGATGGTGATAATAGTAATGAATCTTTTGAAACGGCTAAGGATATAATCATGATTAAAGACAAAAATTTTGAAGCTTTCGAACGCTATGCATCAAAAATGAGTAAAAATAGTGACGATAAGGATGGGGAGGACAAAATTGGAGAGGAACTTAATAAAGAAGATGGTTGGGAGGAGTCTTCCAGGGGTTACCGCTTCCCTCATAGTGAGGATGAGGAGGAGGATAAAATTAAAGAGGGTAAAATTGAAGAAGATGATGGTTGGGAAGAAACTTATAGACGCTACTGCTTATCAAAAATGAGTGACGATGAGGATGAGGAGGATAAAATAGAAGAAGATGATGGTAGGAAAGAGGATTATAGACGCTACTGTTTATCAAAAATGTGTAAAAATAGTGGCAATGAGAAGAATAAAATTGAAGAGGAAGAAAGGGATGATAATGATGATGAAATGGAAAATGATGAAGAAAAGGTAGAAGAAGACAAAGAAAAGTTGAATGATTCTATGAATTCAAGTCCTCTTAAAAATGGAAGTTGTAATAATAAACGTTTGCGCACATGTACATCTAATTCATTGGAAATGCCGCAATCAAGGTTCATAAAAAACTTTAAATACTAGTAATTTAAATTGAATTTTTTGATTGAAATTCAATTTTAATTGAATTTTTTTTACTTCCTAACATGAGAATAACAGTTTTGATTTCTTCTTAATTGTTTGTAAGTCGCCCCCTTTTTCCTATTTCCCTGACCATTTTGAACTTTTTTGTTTGATATGATACCAAGATTGGCTAGATTTCACTCAAGTCAGTTTTTGTTGATTTTAATGTCTCATTCAACTCATCAGCTCGAAAAATTCTTTTGAATGATATATAATTTACAATACAAAAGAGAAAAAATAGATATTTGATGGAGAGAAAAATTTTTTCTTTTTTTAGAGGGTTTAATCAAAACTGTTTTTGCTTACATTTAGAATGTGTTTGAATTAAAGAAAAAATTTTGACATACAAAATTTTAGCAAAATGAAGCGTGTATTAAGCTACATTGAAGAACAAGCACAAGAAGAAGGAGAACATGGAGGTGTAGCTGGGCCTTCAACAAGTTGGCCGACTCAATATTTACATCAAAGACCGGCTCCTTATTTACACAAGAAACAGACTCCTATTTCTAATAATACAACTCGAGAAGAAGAGGAGAATGTGGCTGAGGCTAAGGTAAAAACATCGAGGGAAAATTTTTTTTCAAATTTTTTTGATGAATTGGGGAAAATTTTTTAGTAGTTTATGAGTCCAAGGCTCCAAAAAAGGGTACTTTTTGGTTCTGCCCCTTCCCCGCTCTCATATATTCGAAATTGGCCTTGTGGTTGTTTGGTCTACTCCCGAAAATTATTTTCCGATTTTTTTAATAAATGAAAAAAATTTTCAGTGCCTTACTGGCTTCAAGACCTTAAAAATTTTTTCAGAGCCTTACTGACTCCAAGATTTAAAAAAAATTTTTTTTGAAAAAATTTTTAAGGCTTCCTTCACTAAAAAATTTTTTTAATTTAGTTCAATGAAACTAAAGTTAAAGAACGGACTGAACAACTTGCTGATTTTCATGCAAAATTTATTGAATTAATTCAATCACTTCCTCTAAATATTCAAATGCGTAAATTTCTTGTTTATGAAAACGCTTGATGAGAAAAAGAGTGGAGATGTTTTTGTGGAAAAAAGAGGATTCTTCTTCAATTGACTTTGAGAAGGAAAAAGTTTGTTACATTTATTTTTTTTAATTTTAAAAAAACAATTAAAATTCCCCCAGATATTTTTTTTATAAAAATAATACATACACTCTGTTAATAAAGTATAAGCACCCCTAAAATTTTTGTGAAAATACATGATCCCTAGGTATTATTTGTTTTATTTTTTTCCTATATTATCAGGGATCCAAAACATAAGTAAAAATAAAGTTTCAAAAAATTTTATTGCTTTAAACATTTTAAAATTGAAATTTCTCGAAATTAACGTGTTAAGAAAGTATAAGCACCCCTGTAAAAATTTAGTTTCTACTGATTGTAAAATTCTACAAAAAATACAGTAAATATGTCTATCGATATTATGGAAAATAAAAAAAGAATTAGGCCAATATCTCATTCCAGCGTCGAGATCTCGAACCCTTAAAATCAACGTAAAACAGGGTTTTTCAACTTCAAAAAAATTTTTCGACCCCTTATGGTTTATTTCGATTTTTCATTATGAGCTCTTTCGAAAGCCCTTTAAATTTGCTACAAGATAGGGATATTTATATATCTCAGTAAAAAATTCAATAGAGAGTTACAGGGCGTTAATCCTCCAGAGATAATTTTATGGGGTATTTTGGACGTTTTTTGTGCCTTAGAAATTTAAAACTTAATAACTTGCTGAAATAATTTTTTTGGAAAATAAAACTTATGCTACTTGTAGCAAATTTAAAGGGCTTTCGAAAGAGCTCATAATGAAAAATCGAAATAAACCATAAGGGGTCGAAAAATTTTTTTGAAGTTGAAAAACCCTGTTTTACGTTGATTTTAAGGGTTCGAGATCTCGACGCTGGAATGAGATATTGGCCTAATTCTTTTTTTATTTTCCATAATATCGATAGACATATTTACTGTATTTTTTGTAGAATTTTACAATCAGTAGAAACTAAATTTTTACAGGGGTGCTTATACTTTCTTAACACGTTAATTTCGAGAAATTTCAATTTTAAAATGTTTAAAGCAATAAAATTTTTTGAAACTTTATTTTTACTTATGTTTTGGATCCCTGATAATATAGGAAAAAATAAAACAAATAATACCTAGGGATCATGTATTTTCACAAAAATTTTAGGGGTGCTTATACTTTATTAACAGAGTGTATAATAAGGATGCGACTTAATTTTTGAAAAAAATTTTTTTTTCGTTGTTTCCTTAAAGTTAGATTTTTTTAACCCCAAAATTCTGCAAAATTATACCCACAAAATTTTATTTTTATTTCTTTTTTGAAATAATTATTTTGACAATGAACTTGGAAAATTTTTGTCGCGTTCCTTATTATTTTATTTATTATTAAGTGTCACAAAAAAAATTCACAAAAAAAGGTTTTTTTTAAAAAGCGGGTTGTTTAAAAATAACAAAAAAAAATATATATAAAGCAACCGAAATTTAGACAATTATATCAAAATATACCAATCGGACCTCATTTATGTTCACCCCCTGTAAATTTGTGCATAATTCCTTTAGGGTGTGAGTTTTTAACTTGGCTGGCCATTAACTGGGGATCTGTCGATTTCACTACTATACCCACCCCTCATTAAGGGCTTAGCCAGGGAGTCGATTTTATGGAAGGGGGGGGGCTAAAAATTGGGAGAGCTTTTTCCCCCAGAAGAGCTTTTTGCATCAAAAGCCCCCCTTGGCTGCTCCCTTGCCTCATGTAGTTTTAACGATTGTTTTAGCACCAAGGACGTATACGAGGACGTGTTAATTGTTAGATAAAAATCGGTTTGGGGGTTTCAAAAAAATTTTTCTTTTCGATTTGGTTTTTGGGACGAAAAAAGTTTGGATATGGATTTGGGTATTCCTTCCCATTTTTATTTTTTTTCGTCATAAGTGAGGTCCGACTACATAAAAATATGTATTATTATAAATCTTAAATATTATTTTTTTCATGGTTTTAAAAATTATATTAATTATTTACTTTAAAAAGTTTTTTTTTTAAATTTTATTTTGAATACCATGTATTTTTTTTGATATTGAATAAAAATTTTAAAATAAAATTTTTATTTTTTTTTGAAAATTTAATTGAAATTAATTTTTTAAATATTTAATTAATTAATTTATTTTTTTAAAATAATTTTTTTATTTATTTTTCAAATGATATGAATTTTTACAGACAACGTTTTTTTCATGTTTTAGCCTTTCGTTTGTGTTGCTGCTTTTTCTCTAATACTTGGTTTGTTCCTGATGAGTATTTTCAGGTTTTTTATTTAAATTAATTTTTACAAATCAGAATTTTAAATGAGCATTTGTTTTGGTTAATTTTTATTCTGATTTTATTAATCAGAATTTTTATTAAACATGATTTTAATTTTTATTCTGATTCGAGGAATCAGAATTTTTAACGAACATGTTTTAATTGTTATTGTAAGTTTATTGTAATTAATTCTTAAAATCAGAATTTTATATGAACATGTTTAATTTTTATTCTGATTTCAGAAATCAGAATTTTCAATAAACATTTGTTTAGTTTTTGTTATGATTTTTAAAAAATCAGAATTTTTAACGACATTTGTTTGTTTAAATTTTATTCTGATTTTTAAAAATCAGAATTCTTAATGAACACGTTTTAATTTAAAAGGATAACTTGTTTTAATACAAATTCTGATTTTTATTTTACAAATCAGAACAAGGTTAAATTTTTAAATGTTTTTTAGAGTGTTGAGGTTGCTTATCATATAGTCTATGGAAAAGGACATTTATCTTGGGAATGTTTGTCTATTTTTTAATTTTATAAATTAAAAATAAAAAAAAATATTTTTAGGGTTACCTGAATGGGCACTTCGTTCTCCCTTACATCCTTTAATTTATGCTTTTCCTTTTTGGTTGTTAAAATTATTTTGTCTTGATTTTGGCTTCATTATTAGATGGATACCTAATATTATTCATGCTTTTTTGTTTGCAATTGCTGATATTTGTTTTATTAATTGGGCAAAATCTGTTATTGGATTTTCTTTAGATGGTTAGTTTGTAAATTTTTTTATTTTAATTTTTATTCAATTTTAAAAACCGGTTCTGGCCGGAGCTCCTGTGGCCATGCTTGCAAGGGAACTATTCGGACTGTGACCAAAAATTTTTAAATAAAAATTATATAATAAGGGCCGCTTAATTAGATGTTGGATCAGAATTTTTATTTCAGGTAAACTAAAGTGCGAATAGTTTTTTTGTCAGCACTGTCTAGCAAACCTTGCATAGGAAACCTACCTATATGTTATCCTCATCCAATCTTACTTTACATTTTTCTAAGATTGGGTTTGGGCGGCTTTATTTACATTAGATGTTGGATTGTAGAAACGTCTGAGACTCTCGCCTTGAGTCGTGATTCCAAGACTTTTCTTGGGTTTTTTCCGGTTTTGAGGCTTTTTCCGGTTCTGGAAAATTTTCGGTCTTGAACGTCTCTATTGGATTATAATAAAAAAATTTTTTTGAAAAAATTAAAATTTTTATTCAAATTCTTAATCATTTAATTAATTAATTTTTTTCTAGCCTTGTATATTATCCTTCCACTATATTTTACAAATTGGTTTATTGTTTATTGCTCAACAAGAACATTATCAAATACTTTAGAATGTTGTTTAATGTTAATTGCACTCAATTTTTACACTAAAAACGATGCAAATTATGTGGAAACGAAGAAAAATGATGATTCTGAAGAAGAAAATGAGGCAAACTTTTCAATTCCAAAAATTGATTCTTTTTGTATTTGTTTAATTTTTGTGTCAATAGCTGCAGTTATTAGGCCAACAACTTGGTTATTATGGATACCTCTCTGTTATGGCCATTTTGTTTTTTATTTATTGGAAGGACTTGATGTAATTAATCAAGAAATTATTACAAAAAGAATGGAAGAATATATTTTGAGGTTTATTTTTAATTTATAAAATATTCTTTACTTGAAAGGAACTAGGCATTTAAAACGATATTTAGGCGGGTGGGTAGGTTTATTAAAATAAAGGAAGATTCAACGTCCTATAACAAGTTAGCAGTTATAGGTTTCCCGGGCCCCTATTCTTTGATTGTAAGGAACTAGGCATTTAAGACGGATGTTTAAGCGGGTGGGGTCTATAAAATAAAGGAAGATTTAACGTCCATAGCAGGTTTGGGACGGGTTTTCCGAGCCACAATTTTTGTTTTCCCCCGAACTCAGAAAAGGCGATTTAAGAAACTTCGAAAACCCTTCCCGCCTTGACCCGATTTCTCTCAAAGGGCATCTGCATAAACGTTATCGGCGATAATCAAAAATTTTTTCGATTTTTTAGCCTTTCATAGTGGCACGCTACATAACGAAATAAAACTACCCAATAGGTGTGTTGCAGGTTCGATTCCTGTCCAGTTTTGCTTTTGATTTTTTTTTTGCTTTTGACTTTTTTTAAACTTTTTTTAAACTTTTTTCCAATTAAATTTAAAATTTTCTAATTTTCTCCTTTTAATTTTTTTTCCAGTTATTCTCCTTTTGTTATCATCATTCCATTGTTCACTTTTATTCTTGATTCATTTTACTATGGACGTCCAACTTCAACATTTTTCAATTTTTTTCATTTTAATATAATCAAAAGTGGAAATGCTTTATTTGGTTCACATCCTTGGCATTGGTATTTTACTCAAGGATTGCCTTCAATTTTGTTATTTGCTTCAATTCCGTTATTTACAATTTTGGTTAAATTAATTAGATCTCGTTTTTATGTTGATGTTCGATTGGATAGAAGGTTTTTTTAATTTTTATTGAAAAGTTTTTTTTTTCAAAAATTACTCTTGGGTTTTATTTATGATTAGTCTTGGGTTTCGGGCGTTTTATGGCCCCGATTTTGAACTTTTTGTAAAGGGTAGCACGGGGGACTTGGGGATGAAACTAAGAAAACATCAAATTCCAATTAAAATGTTTATTTCCGAAAATAAAATATAAATATGAAGAAAAAGGGGGCAGAGGGGTTCACGTCAGCATAACGAGAAAATACAAAGGAAAGTGAAGGGGGAAGGAACGGGGAATGGCACGCTAACAACAAAAGCCCTAAAATATTTATATCTCGGGAAAAATGGGTGGAGTTTATCTTTACAATCTTTCTTTATCTCTACATCCATCCCTTCTTAATCGAAGTTGCCCCGCAACTTCATTAAAAATGGTCCATTTTGTTGTTTTTACCATTTTTTGTTGTTGGCGTTTTTATTTGTGGCATTTTGTCGTTTTGGGGTTTTTCTTCAAATTTTCAAAATTATACTATTTAAGCCGGGAAAAAATAGGATCTTGTTCATTTTTCCAATTTATTAATTTTCGAGTTTTTTCTTTTTCCTCCCTTTTTTAAACGTATTTTCTTTTTTAATTTTTATTTCGAAAAAAAAATTTCCTTTTTTATTTTTTTTTCTAAAATTTTTCTTTCTTTTTAAATTCCCTTTATATTTTGTATATGTTCTATTGTAGGGTTGCCGTTTTCGGTTCGAGCCGACGTTCGGTGCATATTTTTCGAGCTTGGTTTTTTTTTGATTCGGTTCGTTTTCGAGCTGAAAAATCGATCTTCTCTTTTGAATTTCGGGTCGAGCGAGCTGGCAACCCTAATCTTTCGGTTCCTTTTTCTATTTTCGTTTAAGTTTTGGCTTCTGAGGGTTCTGAAAGGAAAAAAAAGGGGGGGGGGTGGTTTATATTTTCGTGTAGATTCTTCATTATTTTTATTGTTGTTTTTGTTGGGGTGACTTGATGGTTGTTGTATAGAACTTTTGATGGGATGACTAGGTGTTTGAATTTTTAATTTAATTTATTGTTGGGTTGACTAGATTTTTTGGTGGGTGACTAGATGTTTTGATTAATTTGGTTGTATTGTTGAGTGGTTAGATGTTTTGACTTTCTTCTTTTTTGTTATGTTTTATTTACATTTAAAATACAATTTAATTACGAACTAAATAAGTATTACAGTCGAACTTCGACTTACGATTCAAAGTGTGTATATTCTCGGAATGTCTTATAGTGAGGTCCGACTGTAATTTTTTCTAAAATTTATTCAACCAAGAATTTATTCAAAGCTCCTAGTAAAACATTACCTTTCTTGGCAAAGGAAAATGAATAGTATAAAAGAGGGCAAAAGCAAAAATAAAACAATGGTATGGGCGAAAGCAGGCTGAATTTGTACTTTCAGTTATTTGATTATGAGATAAAGATATTTAAATTCATCCTGTTTTCGTATCAAGATAGGGGGAGTAACCAAGAAAGGTTGTGTTTTGTTTCTATATCTTTTGGTTATTTCTAATTCTATTCTTGTGTGTGTAGAGTGACCAGTCTTGTTCCTCTAGTTTCTCATTTTGGTTTACCGGTTTAATGCGCCGCGTGTGCTGTTTGTAAAACCTGACAAGACGCAATTTCTTTAAAAGTTTTGGGAAGTTTGGTCACTCTGCACCTTCGTTGTTTAAGTGTCCCTAAAAGCGGGCGAGCATACAATATGTAAACGCTAGTGTCAGTCTAGTTGGATCATACGCGACTTGGCTAGTCCCTGATCTCCTTAATCTGATTCTAAGTTTTTCCTAATTATTTCTGTTTTGAAAAAAAAATTCTCCAGCTCGCCGACCTTTGTAAGTTTCGGACATTGGTTTGGTTTTGAAAAAAATTCTATTTGTTTATTTTAGTGGTTGGTTTTAAAACAATGCGTCGCTATTGTTTAAGCTATATTAAAAATGGTTATTTATTTTTTCTAATTCTAAATATTAAAGCGATATTTTCTTTTATTTTGTTTATTTGTGGATTTTTTTGTATTTTGATTTTTTTGTATTTTTTTGTATATTTTTTGGTTTTGTGTGTTTAATGTATTTTGGGTTGGGTTATTGTGTTAGATCTGCCAGTAGACATTTCTAAAAAAATTGGGTGGTTCTTTAAAGGGGACCTCGTTAAGTGATGGGATTTTTGGTCTAAATTTTCCATAGGTGTATGTGTTTGGTTTATTTTGGGTGGATATTTTAAGATTCTTTCTTACCTCCTCTAATAATTTTCCCATTAAATTCTCACCTCTAAATGGTTTTCCAGCTTTTAGCTGGTCTATGGAGAGGGCACATCCCCACCTTGAGTCATACGGATTCACTTCTATAATTTGTAGGCGTTTTGTATTTATTAGGTCTTGGGAAAGGATTCGGTTTTGGGAGAATTTGGCTGTTAAAATTTGGAACATGTATTCTTTACTTACCGAATTCCACTCTCTTCGGTTAAAATTTTTAATTGTTCTACCTAATCTTTTAATTTTATGGGGGTAAGTTTCTTCCATTATTTGGGTTATTGAATACTCATCTTTAAAATACCAGGCTTTTATGTACGTATAAGCCTGTTCTGAACAGGAAAATCGTAAACCCCAAAGGTCGAATGTTGCAGGGAAAAAATTGCTGAAGGGGTGGGTTCTTCCGAAGAAAGGTATGACTTGTTTTCCATTGTACTCAATTGAGGGTGTAACGAGGTTGTTGTAGTCCGACATCACCTGTAAAGATTTTTGATAATTTTTCCAATTTAATTTAAGGGTAAGGGTTATTATTTTTCCATTTTATTTCTAAAAATTTTATTATTGTCCGCAATTATTACATTTAAAGGAGTCTTTGAGGGGTCTAAAGCCATTTTGTTGCCATTTATGTATCGCTTCTCTCCCTAGTACTATTTCAGAGGACCATGTATTTGCCTGGAGGGTTTCTTGGGTAATATAAAATGGGATTTCTGCTTGATTTTGTCCGTCGAATATGTAGGCTTGTGCGGTTCCTACGATTTTGATATTCTGGTTTCCGTCAACTTTTTCAAAGGGGTCAAGGTATTCGCATATTAGATTCATGTTTTCAACGTGATGGGGCATGATATAATTATAGTTAAAATTTTCCGAAAGAAAAGATTTAGTAAAATAATAATCTATAAGGATTGGTATAATGGTTTCTGAATTTTCCATTTTGGTTTAAGTTGAAGTTGTGAAGGTGGTTGACTTAAAATTAATTTATTAGATATGGGGATTTTATTTAAATTGTGTTTATTTTTTTCCGTTATTAGTTTCTGTTAATTATTTTCTGAATTATGTTCCTGTTCCCCCTCGCTTGAATTTTCTGTTAGCTTTCTCAGGGGTATGGTGCAATTTTGAACAAATTTTTTCACTTTATCCATATGTATTTTAATTGTTTTTTCAGTGTCTATATTTTTAACAGTTAAAACGGGAGGGTTTATTGATAAAATTCTCCAAGGTCCGTTCCACTTCGGGCGAAATTTGTGAGCGTTTTCGCCTTCGTAGTGGTCAATTTTCACAAAGACTAAATCAAATATTTTAAAATTGTGCTCTTTTCTGGATTTATCTGCGTTTTCTTTTTGACTTATTTGCGATCTTTCTAATGTAATTTTTACTAAATTCCAAATTTCTTCAATTCCCTTAACGTTCTCTTCTAAATAATCTGAAATATTTTCTTCCCTACCATTTTCTTCCCAGTTTGATAATCTTAAATCTATTGGTAATAGTGGGTCTCGAAAAAATAAAACAAAATATGGGGATTGCTTTATACTTGCTTGAATACTTGTATTGTATGCGAAAACAACACTTTGTAGGAAATAAGCCCAATTATTTCCTTTTTGATTTACATAACTCGCTAACATATCTCCTATGACTCTATTTAACCTCTCAGCCATGCCATTACTTTGGGGGTGATAAATAGTGGTTTTGTTGTGTTTGAACCCATATAATTTTGTAATATCTTTGAAAATGTTACTTATGAATTGTTTGCCATTATCTGAAACGACAACTCTCGGACAACCAAATTTTGTAATAAAATTGTTTGTAAATGCTTGTGATACTGTTAATGCCGTTTGGTTTTCCATGGGGACTGCGACTAACCATTTCGAAAAGGAATCTACTACTGTAAATATATATTTATAACCTTCGACTGTAATCGGGACCGGGCCCATAATGTCAATGTGTACTCTGTAAAATGGGACTTTTGCTGTTGTGATTGGGTGGATTGGTTCCTTAAATACATTTTTCGAAGTTGTTTTCCTTTCTTGACATTTTGAACAAGAATTTACATAATTGTAGACGTCTGATGCTAATCTTTTCCAGAAAAATCTCTTTTTTACTTTTTCTAAAGTTTTTGTAATTCCTAAATGGGCTCCTATTAATTCATTCTCATGGCATTCCCTGATTATTCTTTCCCTTAAGGGTTGTGGTATAGCTATTACTGGGTATGTATCATTTCCTTTTTCAATCCATTTATATAAGATTTTATCGATTATTGAAAAATTTTCTTGTGGGTTTTCATTTTCTGTCTCTAGTTCTATTAAAGGATTTTCTTTTCGTTCGTTTAACTTTTTTATAATTTCTTTGTAATTTCTGTCTTTATTTTGCTCTTCCCTTATTTCTTCTAAAGAAACCTTTTCCCAAATTATTGGTGGATTGTACAGCTTTTTTGGTAATTCAAAATCGATGGGATTGTCTCGGGTTTTTTCTTTAAATTTATTTACAAAGTCTTGCCATTCGTTTATTTCCAAGGCAAAAATGTCTTTATTTGCATTGGGTTCATTGTTTGGGTATCTTGAGAGATGGTCACAAAATTTATTGGATTTTCCACTTCGGTGTTCGATTTTAATGTCGTAGGCTTGTACCGCTAGTTGGTATTTAGCCATTCTTCCAACTAAATTTTTATTTTTCATTAATGAACAAGCGACTGAATTATCTGTCCTGATAATTGTGGTTCCAATACCTTCAATATAAGGGCGGTATTGCTCTAGGCAATAAACGATCGCAAGCGCTTCTAATTCGGCTGTAGTGTATTTTTGTTCATTTGGAGTGGTTTTTCTAGAGGAAAATGAAATAGGGTGTTCTCCGTCGTCTTTCTTCTGGAGTAAGCAACCTGCGATTGCGATTTTTGAAGCATCTGTTTCAATTATAAAGGGTCTTGAAAAATTGGGTGAAGCTAGTACTGGGGCTGTTATAAGTTTTTCTTTTATTGTATTGAATGCTTTTTGGTGTTCTTCGGTCCAATTTTTGTCAACCGTTTCACCTGATTTTGTTAATTCATGTAATTTAGCCATTATTTGAGCGAAATTTCTTATGAAACGCCTAAAATAGGATACAGCTCCGATAAAGCTGCGAAGTTCTGTGAGGGTTTTAGGGGGTTCAAACTTCTGGACTGCGGCAATATTTTTAGGGTCTGGTCTAATCCCTTCTTCACTGATTAGGAATCCTAAGTATTTAATTTCAGATTTCCCAAACGAACATTTTTCCAATTTTAATTTTAAATTATATTTAATAAGTATTTTTAAAAAATTCTCTATGTCTTTTAAATGCTCTTGTTCGTCTATTGATCCTAGTATAACATCGTCTAAATAAACAAGAAAAGATGCTGACAGATCTTTCCTAAGGTATTCCATGACTTTCATGAAAGTACAAGGAGCGCCGCAGAGGCCGAAGGGCATGCGAAGAAATTCATAAACTCCGCAAAAAGTTGCGAAGGCTGTTTTTTCTATGTGTTCGGGTAAAATTCCTATCTGGTGAAATCCTGCCTGGAAATCAAAAGTCGTAAAAATAGACTTTCCTCCTATTTTGTCTAGGATATCTGAGATCATTGGCAAAAAATAAACTTGTTTTTTCGTGTTTTGATTTAATTTTCTATAGTCAATAGCGAAGCGATATTTCCCGTCTCTTTTCTTTACTAGTACAATTGGGGATGCAAATATTGATTCGGAGGGTCTAATAATATTTTGTTCTAACATATCGTGTATTTGTTTATGTACTTCCTCTTGTAATCCTGGCGGGACTCTGTAGGGTCTTTGTTGGACATACTGTTTTTCGTCAATTAATTCGATTTTATGTTGAATGGGGCCATTGAAAAAACCTATTTTACCGTCTTCTCCCACAAAGGCTTTACTATTTTTATAAATAATATTTTTTAAATCATTTTTAGCTTTTTCAGATAAACATGAATTTTTAAAATCTATGTTTTTCTCCAAGTATTCCCAATTTATTTCTTTTATTCTGGCCTTGTCTTTAACTACTTTGTTATTTTCTTCAGTTATTAGTGTATTTGAGAATATTTCTTCAACATTATTATTTTCTAATACTTCATAAAAGCCTATTGATTTTTCGGGGAACAAAATAATTTTTGAATTTCCGCCATTTCGGATTCTAGCATAAACATTATTGCCTTTACAGATTGTTTTTCCTACTAGTATTGAATCTTCGTCGAAATAATTACCTTTGCTTACTAAAATGTCCTTTTCCAGATTTTGATTATTTTCAATAAAACAAGGGACTAGTGTATCTGTATGGGGGTCTAAAGTTATTTTTTCTAAATTTTTAACTTTTTGTTTTATGGGTGTTGTATTAATTGCTGCAATCATTGGCAAATGTGTTAATTCGTTATTCCCAAAATTTACAAATTTTACTTTTTTTCTTAGCCAATCAAAAATAAGTTCGAAGCCTGTTTTTGTCTGTAATTGTTTCATAAAATCCGATCCTAGTAAAATTTCGTATGGACAAAATTCATCTTTTGCGACAAAAATTTGGGTATTTATTTTTAATTGGGATATTTCAATTGTTATATCTATTTTTCCTATCATGAAAAATTCTTCACCGTTTGCTACACGGGCTCGAGTATTGGGTAAAAGGTCGAATTTTATTTTCCCTATTTTTAAAGCGGTTGAGTATTTACAGTAACTTATTGACGCGCCGGAGTCTATTAATGCCTTCATTGTAAAATTATTTGTTTTAATTTCTATTAAAGGATGGTTTATTTCGGATTCTATGTCTAGTTCTAAATTTGATATCTGATATATTTTTGGGATATTTGAGTGAATAAAAGCTTCCATTTCAATTTCTTCTAAAGGGGCGCTTGGTTTAATATTTGTTATATTATTTATTTCAACTTCTTTTAATTGTTTTCTTTTTGGCCTTAAACTTAGAAATGGTTGGATCCAAGGGTAAAAATATATTACTAAACCTATTACAGCAACTACTGGAATAATATATATAAGCCATTCTAGGTATTCTTTCCATTTAGTGAGGCCTGTCAAAATGCTTAAAGGGTTTTGAGAAATGTTTTTCATTGATTCAATTCCTGATGCTACTAGGGAACCTGTTTCTTCTCCAAGTTTTATAAGTATATTCGAAACATTTTCTCTTGTTATATTTCTAATATTTAAAATTTTTCTTGTTTATTTATTCGGTTCGCGTAGCTGTGAAGTACTGAGATTGAAGCCATTAAACTATTTAAATCTGATTGGAATATAGTCTCTGCCCTAAAGATTTTTCTGGCTTCTTCTGGTTTATATGGGAGAAAGTTGGGTACCATTTCCACTGGAGTTAATCCTTCTGTTGTGCGCCATTGGCCTTTCTCATCCTTAAAAACTGACTTGGGACGGTCCTCGCAATTAATTACTTCACTTTCAGATACCAAGTCTTGAGCGTATGAGCCGCTGATTAAAAATAGGGTTCTCGTTACATTATCTTCTTTAACTTCGACTGGGACTCTTTTGTAACAAGTCCCGTTGACTTCGTGATTCCAAAAAATTTTTGTGGGGTTTAATTGAAAACATCGAGAAATTTCTATAACTTCGCCTAAAAATCGCGCGGTTATGTCTTGTCTACGTAGCCATAGTCTTGCTCCAAGAGTTGTATCTATACCCATCATAGTTTTGGCTGTCTCAATTTGTTTATTATGAATGTTACAAATCTCACCCCATAATTTATCGAAATTTTTCTTAACCATTTCTGCTGTGTGTATTTCCAGGAATTGTAACCTTGTGTTTAATTGACTATTTATTTGTGAGTCTTTTATTGTTTTGGGGCGTGTTTGGTTATTCCCTATTTGCCAGGGTGTGTCTCTTCTAAATATTTTTGGTTTAATTCCAAAAAATTTGGCCATGTCTTTTACAACTATTTTTTGTTTATTATCTATATTTTTTATTTTTATAATTTTTTTGGGTTCTATTATATTTTCTTTATTTATTATATTTATTATTTTTGTTAATTCTTTTGGTTCAGGTTCAGGGTTATTTTGTGTATTTGGGATTAATGTTCTTGCTCTTTTTAGTATGTTAATTGAGGTACTGGTGATTATTTCAGGTCGTTGTGTTTGGAAATGTTTATTTGTTTGTATTTTGCTTGCCAGATAATGTGGAGTAGATATTTTGATTGGACTAGTTGGTAAAATTTTTTGCTCTATTTTAATGGTTGGCCGTGTTAAAATTTCAATATCATTTTCATGTATATTCGGCCTTTTGGTACTGGTTACGGTCTTAAACGGTATTCCTGTTTTTACTCCTTCCGTTGGTTTTTGAGTGGTTCTTTTGTAAATTGGGTTTATTGTTTTTAAAATTTTAGTTTGTATCGTGGGGGTTGTGAAAGTATGTGTTATAATTTTTTCTGTTGTTATTTTAATATTTTCTTTATTTGTATTTGGGACTTTATTAATATTTGTTTCTTTTAATATTTTTATATTTTGGTTTATATTTTGAGGTTGTGGTGTGGTATATTTTTGTATTTGTCTATTGGTTATTTTTTCTGTTTTAAATATACTTTTTGTAGTTATTTCAATTTCTTTTTGCGTGGTGGCTCGAATTGTGGGGCTTGTATTTATTGTAGAATGTGTGGGTGAAATCGTGGTCAATTTTCTTGCCCTTTTTAATTCTCTTTTTTTCCTTAATATCTCATCCTCTTCCTCATTTCCCCATCCTATTTCTGCAAACAAGGGTATTCTCAAACCAGAATCTTTGTCAATAAAGTCTCTTAGCTTTGGAATTGAAATGAATACGTCATTTTCCATATAGAATGTGTTATTTTTGAAACATAATTGTTTATCATCTGTTACATTGCCTGTGGCGAATTCTGAGAAGATGAAGGCTGCTTGTAGATTTTCAACAAGAATATAATCATTGGAGACAATTCCTCGAAAAAATCCGGCGGACTCGTATGTACAATGTAATTCCTTAGGGTCTTCCCAAACAATAGTACTATTTCCATTTTCACAACTATTTTCGGTTATTGAACAATTCTGGTAAATTCCTAAGTCCGTTTTTACCATTTTAGTTTCAAAATTTACATAAACATTTCCAATTGAAATTATAAAGTCAAAGTCATAAAAATAACTAGTGCCAAAAATTCCCCAATCAATCTTTAAATTAGTTATAGACCTTAATGTGTTTTCGTCAATTCTTTCTAATATTTTATTTCCTAGTCGGCCTTTTTTGATTAGTTTCCAGCACTCGTCTACCGATACTGACTCGATCATATCTTTTATCTCAATTTCTGTGTTATAAATTCGCATAAATGTGTAAGTGCTTCTTCCAAAAATTAATTTTTCGCATTTAAATCCAGTAAAAATATAAGGTCTTTTACGAGGGACAAATATTTCGACATCATATTCCTCATATAAATTACCTTTTGGAACAGTACAATTCATTTTTTCAGGTGGGGCTAACAAAGTTGGATTTTCCTCTTTTAGGCAGACTTGGTAGCCTGTGGCGTTTTGAAGAAAAATTACACTAATTAATGTCAGTAAGGGAAAAATAGGTGATGGGGATTTTCTATTTTCAACGACATTTATTTTGTACCCTCCTCTACCGCGAGATCTACGGTTTTGAGGGTTTAATCGGGTTCTATTAGCATTATTATTTTGAGTTTGTTGGAAATTTTGTGGGTATGGTCTAAATTTATTTTGTTGACTTCTCCAATTACCTCTGTACGGTGTTCGGTTGAAATTGTTCCAACGCGAATTTTGTGGGTAATTATTTTGGAAATTGGGTCTAGGAAAATTTGGTCTTCTTGGAAATCGGGGCAAAAATCTTTGGAATCTATTATTAGTATAGTTTTGATTCTGTTGGGCTTGTACTCTTCCAATCTGGTTAATACTTTCAACTTGGGCATTGGTTAATTTTTCGCGGGAAAATTCTAATTGAGATTCTTCTTCTTCAATAGCCTGTTGGATGGCTTCGGGCATACTGTTTGGTTTTGGCATTCTTCTAAGTTGTTCTCGCAAGTCCATTTTAAGCCCTCCCCGGAAAAGGTCAATTGCCATTTCACGGCGTATGTCGGCGTTAAAGCCGCCAGAATCCGGGTAGGCCTTATCGACCAATTGGGATATAATTTCGGCGAATTCGGGGATTGATTCATTGGCTCTTTGCCTTCGGGTCTGACACATTCGTCGAAAGTGGGGAACGCTACTGCCGATGGAAAACTTTTGGGCTAACTGGTCGATTAAAATATCCCAGTTTCCTTTCTGTGGGGTTGTTAAGTTGTCATAATATACCTGGGCTTCTTTTCCAAGAAAAAGAGGGAGCATTCGAGCCATATCCGCTTTATTCCATGAGTAAGCTGTCCCAACTTTGTTGAATTCGGTTATAAATGCAGAAAATGTGCGTGGATCGCGCCTTCCCATGAACGGGTTAATGCTTATGTTCGGCTTGTTCCCTAGGCCTCCTATCTTTACATCCAACTTTTCAAGCTTTTCCGCTAGCTCTTCCATTTTCTTTTTAAATATTCTCTTTTCCCTATTTTTATACCTTTTAGATCTTTCGCTTTTGGGGGGAGTAGTTTCAGTAGAAACGTTACCAACCTGACTGTCTTCCAGAGAACGAGTCGATTCTTGATTTTGTTGAATGCTTTTGTGTTGGTTACGCGATTGAGTGTTAGTATGTATTAGTTTGGCTTAATAAATGAGTTTGTTGAAAAATTTAAAATTAGAAATATACCTTAATTTTCTCTAAAATTTATTATTTTATTGTTATATTTATTTATTATTATTTTTTATTTTTAAATTTTACTAATTATTTTAATTTTTTAGATAGAAATGTAAATATATTTAATTATTTTATTTGTCTCTACAAGGTAAGGTAAAAGAAATTTTTTAAGTTCTCCAAAAATTTCAGGATTTTAAACTTTAAATTTAGTATAAAATTTTATAATTTTTGAAGTAGAGTACGTCGAGCACCGAGTATTTGGGAAAAATCGAGACGGAGTCAGAGGTGTTTCGAAACAAAAATCTTCGAAAATCGAAAGAAATCCAAAAATATTGAAATCGAAAATATTTTTCAAAATCTTCGGAATCGAAAGAAAAATAACCTTGAAAATCGAAATTAGGAAACACCTCTGGTTGGAGTATGCCGAGTTTAAAAAACCTGTGTTTTTTGTCGAATTCGAGTAGTTGAATAATTTTAAACTATTAGTCCTCAGTGCTGGGTATTGGGCATTCGTTGACAGTAATTGTTAGTGATTATTTCGGGAATTTGTTTCGGGGACTTGCTCGACTCGGACGTACTTTATTTTGAAGATAAAACATATTAAAAGTTTAAAATTAAGTAAATTATGTTTAAGACAGTTCTTTTGTTAAAATTGCCGTTTTGATTTTAAACTAACTTTTAGGTAACTTACAAGAATGTTTTTGAATATTTATCTACGTTCCCCAAAAATTTCAGGATTCTAAACTTAAAATTTTGAAAAATAAATTTTTGGGTTTTTTTTTTTTTAATTATATACATTTTCCGGAAAAATTAAATTTGGAGTATTTGTCAGTCAGAAAGTTCGAAATATGTCTATCCGTGAGATGTTTCGACACAAAAAAATCTTTAGTTTAAAAATTAGTTAAAAATATGGCCTTAAAAATCGAAGGTAAATATATTTTATATTTGGGATAGAAATTCAAAATGAAATTTTAAAAATGAAAATTTGAACAGCTCTAACCTAAATAATTATTAGAATTTATATAATTTTTTTAAAAATAAAACAATATATTTGTGAGTTGGTGTTTAGTTAGTGCCACTATTATGTATATGTTTTTGTAAATAGTGAAAATGTGAATGCTTAAAAGCTAAAAAAAAATTCGGCGAATATTAAAAATACTTTACATGCGTGAAAATGAAAAAATGGAGAATGCCAAATTTCTGCCATTGGAGGGCCCTTTCCTTTGACAGAGGGAGAAAAAAACGCGTGCCGGCACTTTTTTTTTAAAAAGGATTGTGTATTTCCGAAAAATCCTTTGTGTTGCCCCTATTTTTTGAAGTCTTGTGAGACTTATTGCACCGAGGTCTCTTTTTGAGCCTCACGCCAAATTTTGGCTTTATTTATTTTCGGCGGGGCGAAAACAAAAATATGTGGGGATAAAAAAATGGTGCACTTTTATTTGGCCAAATAATTCCCCTTTTCTCCCGAAAATGGCATTCCAGACATTTTTTGTTTGCTTTTTTGTGAGAATTTGTGTGGCATTGTGGTTGGGGACAAAAAATTGTTTTTATGTTAAAAAAAATTTTAAAAATGTGTGTGTGTGCGTCTGGCAATTTATTTGGCCTTAAAATGTGGACTAGAAAAAATTTTTGGCTAGTGTGTGTGTGTGGTCTATTGTGTTTGGCATTAACGTAAAAATTAGGGAAAAAAAATTTGCTAGTGTATAGAAGGGGGAAAATGTACTTTTATTTACTCTTACCGTATTTTATACAAAGTTTTTATAAGTGCCGATTTTGTCTAATATGATGGTTTTTTGATAGGTCTATGAGGATTATTTTTTTTTAAATGAAGGATCGACTTTTTGTGTAATTTGAAGATTATGAGGATTTTTTATATTTTCGTTGATTTTTATTTAAATTTTTATAAATTAAATTTTTCTAACCCCTTTATTTTGTTGAAGCTATTTTTTCTTATTTTTTGAAATCAATCAACAAACTTATTTATGGCCATTATATAAAATTCTATAAAGCGCAGATAGACAAAACAAAAGAAAAAAGAAAGTTTAGGTGTATACGTGGTGGTAGCAGTAATCACATATCCTTCTATTCATTTTTTAAATGAATTTACCTTTTAAATTCTGTTTATTTTATTTTAAAGATTTTATTTTGAAATGAAAATATTTATTTTTATTGGCATTTTTATTTTTGTTTCGGCGGAAAGCCCACCTGAAACCTTTAAAGGTTGGCTTCTTTCCCAGCCAGGTCATTGTCTTGGATGTGATGGTTACTGTTATCACCCTGTCGAGTAGGTTTTTGAAGAATTTTAAAATTGGAGGTGGGAATATCCGTATATTGCCGAGCAGTGTATATAAATTTCAGTCTTTGCTCGTACTCGTACTTCGTACCAGCCTATTTTTCGAATTTTGGTACGAGCTTATAAACACTGTTGATGAGAATATAATTTTTTGGAACATAATTATGGGGGGTTTTGGAAGGAAAATAGGGATTTTCGTTTGAATTTGAAACATGCGATTTTTGGCTAAACTATATTAAAGTGCATTTACAGTATGTACGAGCCTGTTTTGTGTCTTCCAACTTTACTCGACCAAGCGCCTACTCTGGCCTGTCCCTACCCCTGGTCTATAATGGTTATTGTGGTTGTTTTTGGCGGGTTGAATTTTGTGGTTTTTGGAGTGTTTTTTGTTATTGGGCTGCGCATCCTGCGCTTGATTACTGGTCTGAATCGGCGGAATACGTCTCGTGGCATTCGTGCGCCTTTAGAGTCAGCCCGTCGCCTTCGTGACCATGGCGTCCGAATGCATGAGATCGACCTGCATTGGGCCGACAATTAAGAAAAGAAAAAATATATATTTAATAATTTATTTTAAATAAACAAGAAATATTTATTTTTAATTTTATTTATATAAATATATTTTTCTAAATAAACTTATAAAATTTAATACAGGCGAAAATTTTGAGAATTTGGGAAAAATCTTTAGTCCGGGGTATGCTTTGGAAATTATCGGAAATCGGAAGGAAAAACGTTAGAAATCGGAAGGAAATAAACGTCGGAAATCGGAATTCCGACCCTCAGCTCGTGACGAAGCCTAGGACCTCCAATTGTAAAGGGTAGCACGGGGGACTTGGGGATGAAACTAAGAAAACATCAAATTCCAATTAAAATGTTTATTTCCGAAAATAAAATATAAATATGAAGAAAAAGGGGGCAGAGGGGTTCACGTCAGCATAACGAGAAAATACAAAGGAAAGTGAAGGGGGAAGGAACGGGGAATGGCACGCTAACAACAAAAGCCCTAAAATATTTATATCTCGGGAAAAATGGGTGGAGTTTATCTTTACAATCTTTCTTTATCTCTACATTTTTTTAAATTCTTGGCTCTAGCTCTGGATTTTTACTATGGACGTCCAGCTTCAAGGACGTCTATGGACGTCCAACAACCAAGCCTTTAGGGTTAGACCCAAAAGCTGTTTACGAGTATAGGCAAAAAATTTTTATTGAATTTTCCTATTATTTTTCGATTTGTTTTCCTCTCGGGCTTTAAAAAATTCCGTTTTTTTCGAAGGTTCTTCCTTTTTACATTAAATTTTTTTGAATTTTTCCGATAATTTTTTTCAGTTATTTAATTAATAATCCAAAAAAATTTCCGCCTTTTTAATTTATTAATTTCTAGATATATATTATGTGCTGGTTTGTATATTTTCAGTCTTTCACTAATTGCTCATAAAGAACATCGATTTGGTTAATTTTCAAATTAAATTATAGTTAAAAAACTGGGTCCTATTTAAGAAAAGGATGGGTTCCAGAAGAGCTGAGAGTTAGGGGAGTGATGAATATAGGTAGACCGCTTGATCGAGTAATTGACTTGCTTGAACACAACGAACTTCCCTTGACTTAACTGTCCTTGACTGACAATAAACTTCTAATTATTGGAACCCAGTTCTATTTAAGAACGATACGAGTCACAGAAAGCTGAGAGCTTGTGGGGGTGGTGAATATCGGTCGCCCGCTTGATTGAGTACTCGACTAGGACAGATCGAATTTCCCTTAACACAAATTCTTGACTAACATTAAACTTCTAACTTCTGGAATCAAAACTGGGAACATTTCCCCCAGTTTCCTTTTAGGTTTTATTTTAAGACTTCTGGCCTGGTGCTCATTAAGTTTTCCTCAAAAAAAAAATTATTTTTTTTTTCTAAATTCTTTTACAGTTTTGCCAATTATTCCAATTCTTCTCCCATACATTGCTGTTGAAATAAATTCTTATAAAAATGAATTTATTAAAAAATGGCTAATAAATTTAATTATTGGTTCGAATTTATTGGTTATAATTTATTTTGGTAAATTAAAAATTTTGAATTAAAAAATAGTTTTTTAGGTCTCATCCATCAACGCGGTCCTTATGTAGCAAATAATAAAATTGTTCAATATGTTGATGAAAAATTACAAAAAGACAATAGCAGTACAATTTATGTGCTACAATTAATGTATATTTTTAATTTTAGTGGGGGAATTTTTTCAAAAAAAAATTTTTTTAATTCTCAAAATTTTCCCAAAATTTTCAAAAAAAAAACAAAAAAACAAAAAAAATTCTCAAAAAAATCTAAAAAAAATTAATTTTTCCTACTTTTTAAGGCCTTGTTTTTCAATGCCAATGTATGCTGGTCTTCATCCTTATGCTCAAAATGTGTCTATTACTATGCTTGATTGTGGAATTAATGTAAATTTTGATATTTAATTTATTATGTTTTGGATTGATATTTAATTTCTTCCGGAATGTTTAATTTATTTCCTGGAGGAATAAATTAATTTACGGAAGAAATAATTTAATTTTGTTTCCGGAAAGTCTTATTTAATTCTAAAAAGAATTTATATTTATTTTTCCGGAAGGAGTTTATATATTTCCGGAAAATTATATTTATTTTCCGGAATTGTTTATATATTTTTCCGGAAAGAGTCGATTTATTTTTGTATTTTCCGGAATTACTCTACACTTTTATTTTTGTTTGAAATATTTTTCCGGAAGTATTTTCTTTATTTCCGGAAAGTTCTATTTATTTTCCGGAATTGTTAATTTATATACCGGAACGATTTTGTATATTTCCGGAAATTATATTTATTTTCCGGTATTGGCTATTTATTTTTCCGGAACGAATATTTATTTTCCGGAAAATTGTATTTACATATTTTCCGGAACGAATATTTATTTTTGTATTTTCCGGAACTGCTCTACACTTTTATTTTTGTCTGCAATATTTTCCGGAACAATTTTATATATTTCCGGAAAATTATATGTATTTTCCGGAAAAATTTTATATATTTCTGGAAAATTCTATTTATTTTCCGGAAAGAATTATATTTATTTTTCCTGAATTGTTTATTTATTTTCCGGAACGAATATTTATTTTTGTATTTTCCGGAATTCTTCTACATTTTTATTTTTGTTTTAAATATTTTCCGGAAGTATTTTCCGGATATGAAAAATTTATTTTTTCTTTTTACAGAATACTACAGATGAATCTGACCAATTCCATTCTTCTCCAATACCTTGGTTAAATAAAAATTGGTTTTCAAAAAAATTATATTTAACAAATTTAATTGTTTGCTATCAACATATCTTCTACAAAATTGAATCTTTTTTAATGCAAAAAGGCTTTGGAAGACATTCCGTTATATTCCATACTTATTTTACTTCGTCTAGTCGGCAACATTCAAAAATTATTTTATTGAGTAAAATTGAAGAAGAATAAAATTAAAAAAATTTTTTTAATTTAAAAATTAAATTCATTAATTTTTTGAATTTTTATATTTTTATTTTTCGATTTTTTAATTTATTTTTAAAAAATTTTTTTTTAGCTTCAGTAAACTACAGAAAAAAATAATTTTTTTTTGTTTTTATTTTTGACAACAACAAAAAGATGAGTGAAGCTATCCAAAATTTAAACAAACCTAAAGGTAATGAGGAAAAAAATTTTTGAAAATAAAAATAAATTCCCGTTAAGATGCTTTCGAGCAACTTGAAGAAGAGGAAGGAATGCGCCAAGGCTTCTGTCACATTCGCATTCAACAACGAACGGGAAGGAAAACAATAACAACTGTGCAGGGAATTGCTACGGAATATGATCTTAAGAAAATTGTGCGTTATTTGAAGAAGGTGAGGGGAAATATTTATTTTGTGTTTAGAGGAATGTTTTCCGGAAAAGTTGAATAAATAAATATTTTATATTTTATGTTTCCGGAAAATTTTACATATATTTGCTATTCATCCGGAAAATGCAAATATTTTATTTTCCGGAAAGTTAAAAACTGTTATATATTTCCGGAACATTTACCCTTATTTTAAATATACTCTTCCGGAAAATGGTAATACTTACCTATTTTATTTTTTCCGTAAAATAATAATTTCCGGAAAGTGTTGTTATTTTTAGAATAATGTTTTCCGGAAAAGTTGAATAAATAAATATTTTATGTTTCCGGAAATCTTACCTTTATATTATAAATATGCTCTTCCGGAAAATACATTAAAACCTATTTTTATTTTTTCCGGAAAGTTTTCATGATAATTTTATATTTCCGGAAAATAATAAATTTTCCGGAAAATCGAACCGGTATATGTTATATTTCCGTAAATGCTTTCCTGTATTTTTGTATTTTCCGGAAATTTTGCCCTTATTGTCTTACTATACTTTTCCGTTAAATATTTTATTTTTTTCCGGAAAGTCTTATGTTTCTTGATAATATTAATTTTATATTTCCGGAAAATAACCAAAAAAATACAATTTTTTTTTAAATAATTTCCCAATTTAAAGGAGTACAATTGTAACGGTACCATTGTTGAGCATCCCGAGTATGGCGAAGTTATTCAATTGGTACTTGAATTTTTTTTATTTTTTTATTATTCTTATATTTTTTTAGACAGGGGACCAACGGCAACACATAAAGGATTTTTTATGTAAAGTGGGTATTGTCAAAGAAGAAAATTGTAAGATTCACGGATTCTAAAAATACTAATATAAAAATGTCATGTGTTTTTTTCGATTATATATACCTATTTGTTTTGTTATTTAATGGGTATCACGACTTTTGCGCCGAGAACATTTGCGCCGCGACTCTTGCGCCGCAACTTTTGCGCCGGGCGACTTATGCGCCGCGACATTTGCGCCGTCATTGTTTAAAAAATCCGGATCCGAAAAATGCCGGATATCCGAAATTTTCAGTTCGGATATCGGATCCGGATATCCGAAGATTTCCAACTATCCGACAACCCTACTAAAGTGAGGTCCGGCTGTAGTTATTCATATATTTTTAATGATAGTGGCGGCGCAAAAGTCGCGGCGCAAAGGTTCCCCGGCGCAAAAGTCACTCGGCGCATAAGTCGCGGCGCAAAAGTCGCGGCGCAAATGTTCTCGGCGCAAAAGTCACGGAACCATTTAATGTGTGTCTAACTTTAAAAAATTATGTCTTAAAGAAATCTAGATTTTTGGGAAAATAAAAATATTTAACCTTAACACATTTCTTTAGATAGGGGGGGGGGCAACGAAAATAAAAAAGAATTTTTTAGAGGAATTCCGGAAATCTATATATTTTCCGGAACGTTTACACTAGTTTATAGCAATATATTAAAATTCTTCCATTTATTTTTCCGGAATAATATTTATTGTTAAATAATACAGTCGAAAACCTGAAACTTTCACTTTTTCCCTTATAATTATTTATTATTCCGGAAAATATATATTTTCCGGAAAGCTGTGTATCAGGGGTGTGCCAGTTTCGCCTTTCGCGGATTTTCGCGTTTTTGGACTTTCACATTTCGCCTTTCGCGTTACGCTTTTTAAAATCCGTTTAATCTTTTAAGATTCATTGGATTTTTCCAGGATTTTAATTTACATATGTTATTTAAAAAAATATATTTTTTTTTGGAGTCCACCCCAGAGTATCGACACCCAAAGTATCGAATGACCCAAAGTATCGAATGACCCAAAGTATCGAATTTTTTAAATTTCATAATTAAGTATTCCAAGGACGGGGAAGTCTTTTTAACATAGGGAAATTGTTCCAACAATGGATCAAACATCGATCATGATCAATATGTCCAATCAAAGAAGAGTGATCGATCTCCAAGTAGAATCTTGATCGGTCGCTATGCTCATTTCGATCGAAAACACAATTCCCTGATGTTAGAGCATCATGCCCGATCATTGGAATACTTAATTATGAAATTTAAAAAATTCGATACTTTGGGTCATTCGATACTTTGGGTGTCGATACTCTGGGTGCGATATTTTGGGTGTCGATACTCTAGGGTGATCCCATTTTTTTGACGTTAATAAAATAAAAAATGTTCCTTTATTTAATTTTAAAATTCTTTCTTTCATTTTCTTTAAAAATAAACCTTTAAGACCCATTTTTTATTATTTTGTACTTTTAACAATTTAATTATATCTAGTTTCCAACGAACAGAAATGTCTGCCATTTAAAAAAAACTAACAGACTTGTCTGCTACTCGCACGTGAATTGATTACCCCCTTTTTCTTCCAATTTTTTTTCAGTCTACATTTTCTGACTTGTTTTATTCGCTTATTTCCAGCTATTTTTACTTAATATTAATTTTTCTTTTATCAAAATTTGGTCAATTTTTTTGTGTTTTTGTCTTGGCGAGAATGTCCATTTTATTAGTATTTATTAATTTATAGTCTACTAAAGTCATCATATAACACTAATTTTTCAACAAATTCTTTTCTCCCTTTTTGGATGGATAGGCAAATTTCGCCTAAACTCCTTTCCTTCAATGGCCGTGTAATTTGGCGGATTAGGAAAAATGAAGAGGTGAATGAATTATAAAATATTCATGATTATAATGTTTCCGGAAAAATATGAGACTATTCTTACTTTCCGGAATATTTTTATATATAAATTATATATTTTCCGGAAACTTAAACTTAGTTTTCGAACATACTTTTCTATTTTCCGGAATGTCTAAGAATAAACGTTGCTTGTCTTCCGGAAATATTTTATATTCGTTTCCGGAAATATAGCCTCCTAAAACTTCGCTTTCTATAAACATTTCTTACAACCTTGTTTTCCGGAAATAATATTTTTTCCCGAACTTGAAGCTCACTGAAGCTTAGTATTCCTGAATTTTTCCGGAGAAGACTAATTTATATTAATTATATTTTTTAATACCAGGTAAACGGAATGCCTTTTCTCAGCTATGAAGACTTGTTAACCGGAAAATGTACAAATTATAGAGTAATTGGACTCTGCTCCCGTTTCGGGGAACTTGTAGCTATTTATTGGTTAATGGATGGAGATGATGATAAAATGGTTATAATTGATCTGAAAATTGAGGGAACACAACGAGTCCTCTCACAACGAATATTTAGGGTAAATTGAGGGAAATTTTATTTGAAAAATTTGTTTTAAAGCTAAATCATTTTCAATGTACTGCTGAATGGATGGGACCGAACCATCGACAATATTCAACTGAAGTTTCTTCCTTTTCCAATGTTTTGGTAGGGGAGGAAGTTGTTGTGTTGATTGGAAGTTGCTTTGAGGAAGAAGATCATGATAATTCGAGTAAAATAAGTTTTGATTTTCCGGAAAATATTACTAAAGTTTATTCCGGAAAATAATTAAGTTTTCAAGTTCAGGAAAATATTAAGTTTTCCGGAAAATATATTTAATTTTCCGGAAAATATATTTAAGTTTTCCGGAAAATATATTTAAGTTTCCGGAAAACATTAAAGTTTATTCCGGAAAATATATTTAAGTTTCCGGAAAATATCAAAGTTTATTCCGGAAAATATTAGGTATTGACCGGAAAAGTCTACGTTTCCGGAAATTATTAATGTTTGTTCCGGAAAAAATTTAAGTTTTCAAGTTCAGGAAAATATAAAATTTCCTGAAATTATTAAAGTTTCCGGAAAATAAATATTGGTTTATTCCGGAAATTATTAAAGTTTCCGGAAAATGTTTATTTTCTGATCGTTTATATTAACTCTACTATTAAAAGTTTTACTGAACTTTTACTATAATTAAAATCTGAAAATAAAAATATACTAATTTAGCACCTCCACAACAACACATGGTAACTTTACCTCGTTGCCCAACTAACGCATTGTTTTCAGAGGAACTTTTACTTCCCGATATTGTTAATTTAAAAGGGACTACTTCAGGCTCTTTCTTCTTTTTAGCTAGGCCGGGAATGTCTGGATTATTACCTGATAATTGTATTGATAGATTGGCTGAAATGGAGCCTAGGAATCAATTACAAAAAATATTTTTTCTTGGAAGGTTGAGGAAGTCTCATTGTTGTGGAGAAATGAGTTCTCGTGATCCTTTCTATAGAGGCTACTCTAATTCTGAAGAAAATGGTAGAACTCCATTTTATGGCGCTTTTCCGTATGTTGATAAATTAATTGAGTTCATTTGGTCACATAATAGATTTTTGGCCATTTGGTCACTATGTGTATTTCTAGACATTTGGTCACCTAGTAGATATTTAGCCATTTGGTCACCTTGTGTATTTCTAGACATTTGGTCACTTCGTGTATTTTTAGACACTTGGTCACCTCATATATTTCTAGACATTTGGTCACTAAGTAGATTTTGACCCATTTGGTCACTTTGTAGATTTGGACCCATTTGGTTACACAAAATAAAATCCCTTATTTTTAGCTTCATATACAATACACAACATATCCGTCAAAAACCTTTTGCTGAACTGCAGAACACAACAAATTTCCCTCCTCGCCCAAAACACAACGATTTACTAACTCCATTCCTCTCTCAACAAATTCCACAAAATTCAAAAATTTATTTCCGACATTCTGGAAATACTCCTCAATTAGTCCCAGCTTTGTTTTGGACTGAAAAGGAAGAAAAAAGCAATTTAAAAATTTGGCATTTGGGATGTCTAAATTTGTTGGAAAAATGTTGGATTGGCCCTATGGCAGAATGGGAAGCACCTGCAAGTGAACGAGCCGAAGTTGTGATGAGCGCTGATGGAGCTATGCTTGTATTAATTCGACAAAATGGGAATGAAAGAGAAAAAGTAATTTGAATGTCGTAAATGTTCTAATAGAAGCCCATCTCTAATAGAAGGTCATTTCCAATAAAGCATATGCCTTTCTATTGGAGACTATCTCCGACAGAAGCCTATGCCCACTCAGTGAAGATATTGACCCAGGGCGTCTATTAGAATATTTTTGGTATTTTTTTCAAAAAAATTTTTTTTTGTAAGATGCGCTGTTTCCGCATCTCTCAACAACGCCTACTTGCACCCCCTACTCTACTTGACTTAACGCTAATTTCCATCCAATGTTCTGAAAATCGAGCATTAAAGTTGCTAGCCCAACAATTGTTGAATAGTGTTGGAAAATGAATAATAATTTTTAAAATAAAAATTTAAGAATTTTTGTAAATATATTTCCCGCGATACACCTGAATTAATGTATATAATCTATAATATTCTGATAAATATTAACGGATTTCTATTTTATTTGTATTTCCGGAAGCATTAATTTTTCTATAGTTTTCGGAAAATTGATTTTAATTTTTAATGTTTTCCGGAAAGTTTAATAGTTATTTTTCCCTTATTTATTTTCCGGAATTTAGTAAATGCTAGAAATGTTCTTTGGATTTTCCGGAAAGTTTAATATCATTTTTATTTATTTTCCGGAAATATACAAACGTTTCCGGAATTTGTACAAATGTTTCCGGAAATTTAGTAAATGCTATAAATGTTCCTTTAAGTATTAGATTTTCCGGAACTATACATAAGTATTGTAGATTTTTTCCGGAAAATTTAATAGCGTTTATTTATTTTCCGGAAGTATACAAATGTTTCCGTAAATTTAGTTGTTGCTTCATTATAGTGCCCGTAAACATATACATATTATAAATTATTTTCCGGAAAGTTTGTATATTAGCTATAGTTTTCCTGAGAACTTAGGGGTATAATTAACTAATAGAGTTAGTTGTTTATTTAATTTATTTTTCCCCAACAATTTATTATTATTATTTTTCCAAGGATTAATAAAATTCTCTAAAAACGTAAAAATATTATATCTTCCCAATTTCCTGATTTTCCTCGATTTAAGTTTCATATTTCAATTTTTAGTCCTTTTAGTAATTTGCCAAAATAATTTTTAATAATGTTTTTTATTAAATATTTTTATTTTCTTAATATTTCCTCTTCAAGTCAGCTGCCTAGTGTCTCCATACTTTTCTTAGGGTATTTTCTGTTATCGTAAAAATCGTGGATTTTTTGATGATTTTAAGCTTATTTATGCTTAGGTTTCAAGTTTCATAATTTTTTGCTTTTTATTGAAGCATTTTATATTTTACACTAATTTTGAATTTTAGTTGGCTCTCTATTAGAAGCTATGACCAGTAAGGCTTTTGTATATTATTTTCCGGAAACATTTCTTGTATTCTATTAATACATTCCGGAAAAATATTACTCTTCCGGAATTATATTCTCTACTAGACTTCTAAATAGACTTTCCGGAAAAGTTTTCCGGAAAATTCATACCTAATATTTTTCCGATTAATAATTCTTATTCTTTCCGGAAAATAATATTTAAAAATAATAATTAAAATAATAAAATAATAAAATAATAATAATATTTTTTAAAAATAATAATTAAAAAATAATATTTTCAGGTAAACCCATACCTAGTTTATTTTTTTTTTTTATTAAATAAATATATTATCCGGAAATAAGTATAATATATTTTCCGGAAAACCCATACTTATTATTTATTCTTCCGGAATTATATTCTCTACTAAACTTCTAAATAATCTTTCCGGAAAGGTTTCTATTTAATTTTCCGGAAAATTCATACCTAATATATTTCCGGTTAATAAGTATTATTCTTTCCGGAAAATAATATTTTCCGGAAATAGATTAACTCACCCTTCCTTCCCTTTTTAAATTCAAGTTTAATTTCATGTCTATGCTTCATTTGTTATTTTACTGTTAAATACTACTGCAATTGACTCTTCCTTAAAATTACAATAAATTTATTTTTTCTTCCTTACCCCCTTCCTAAAAAAGAGTAAATAAAATGCCGAAATCATATAAATAAGGAAAAACGTTCCCACGTTTTTTGTTTAATAATGTCCCGCTTAACTCACTCTCTTTTCCCTTTTTAAAATTTACATAAGCGGGGATTTTCAAGAATTTTTGACAAAAAACACATGCTTTTATAAAAACCAAGGGTGAGGTATTTTTGATTTTATTTTTAATATTTTTATTTTCTGTTTTCAATTTTGTAAGGCTTCCGGAAAATAATTTTCAGGGAATAAATTAACTGACTAAGCTACTATTGTTTTCCGGAAAAGTATTTTTATAATTTTATTTTTTTAATTTTTCTTATGTTTTCCGGAAAAGTTATACCTACTATATTTCCGGTTAGCATATTTAATTATTTCCGGAAAATAATTTTTCGGAAATAAATTAACTGACTAAGCTACTATTGTTTTCCGGAAAAGCTACACAATTCATACAAATAAGTTTAATTATTTTTAAGGTGGATTATTTTTCCGGATTAGTCCTTTTTCAGGCATAATTCGATTTTTTAGGCATAATTAAATTTTTAGGCATAATTCGATTAAATTTTTCTCTGAATAAAATTTCTATTTTTCTCAATAAATTTTTTCTTCCTCCATTTTTCACTTTTATTATTAACAAAAATATTTATTTACCTAAAAACAAAATTTTTTGGCCGCCAAAAATTCCTTACTTAATTCTCGTTTAAATTAAATATATTCACATATTCAGCCTTTTCTCAAACTCTATTTTTTATAATTTTATTGAGGAACCATTTTAATATTTAAAAAATGCATAAATCGTATTTTAAAAGAATCTGAACGGGAGGAAAATGAGGAAAAGAGGGGGAAGGTGTGTGAAGGACAAGCAAGCTTTGAATATTTTTTGGCAGCCCTAAAAGAATAAATTTTCGGACTTGTCTCGAATAATTTTCTAAAAATTGTGACAGATTAAAGACAAAATTTGATGAAAAATAGTTTGTTATAGGGAGACGTTCATCGTACGATTTTTTTGTTTGGATGGATGGCCTCTCTTTTTCCAAGTTTCCTTTTTTAGTTGCTACACTTATTTGGGGGGATTTGGGGGGGTTTTGAGGGGGTTTTGATAAAATCACGAAAAAATTAGAAAAAAAAGTCGAGTTAAAAGAGAAGGGGGGATGAATGATTTTTAGAGGAAAAATTAATTTTTTAAAAGGGATTTTGAAAGGGTGAACGCAACGAGTAAAAGAGCCAATGCCATTTTTATAAACAAATATATATTTTTAACTAAAACTGCGCATCCGCCTCAATCAAAAAATAAAAATAAAATTTATTAGTTATAAAAATAAATATTTATTTTGCCAGTCAATTACCTAATATTCTCCTTTCTTTTATTAATTTTCAAGGTTATTTTTAAATATTTTTTATTTCTTCAAATTTTTCTAATTTTATGTACTCCTCATTTTTGCCAATGCCAGAATTTTAAATATAATTTATTAAAACAATTTTTTCTTTCCTCTAATTTTAATAAAGTATAGAACTCCGAGCATGTTTATTATTTTGTTACAATAGCATGTATTGTAAACAACATTATTTTTCCGGAAAATTGTATGCAGGAAAATTTATATATACTATTTAGGCATGTTCACTTGTTCCGGAAAATAATTATTTTTTCCGGAAAAAGACTATTCTTGAAAATAAATTTATTTTTTCCGGAAATTGTTTATTCTTCCGGAAATAATTATTTTTTCCGGAAAAAGACTATTCTTGAAAATAAATTTATTTTTTCCGGAAATTGTTTATTCTTCCGGAAATAATTATTTTTTCCGGAAAAAGACTATTCTTGAAAATAAATTTATTTTTTCCGGAAATTGTTTATTCTTCCGGAAATAATTATTTTTTCCGGAACTAATTATTTTTCTGGAAAATATTTATTCCTTCCGGAATTTATTCATGTACTTTTCCGGAATTATTTCTTCTTTCCGGAAATTATAATTTATGGAATTAATGTTTCTTCCGGAATTTATTTATTTATTTTCTTTCCGGAATTAAACTTTACTATAAAAACGGTGTTTTTAAGTTTTATATTACTTTCCGGTTATATGATTAACTTTAAACAAAATACCAACTTTATTATTTTTCAAAAATTCCAAACTTTTTAAATATATTTAAAAATGATGAATTTATCTTAAAAATTAAAAATCTTGAATTTTAAAGAGGTGTTATTATTATTTTCTCGACCCGCATTTTTCGTTTAAAAAAATTTTATTTTTCAATTTTAATTATTTAATTATTACGCACTTTGTATCTTCCCTTTTTCTCTCTCAAAAAATTCATTAAATACTTAATTACACTTTTGTTTTTAAACACAAAAATTTTTCATCGAATTCCAAGAAAGAAAAGAAAGAGTCAGTCTCGAACTTGTTTTTTCCCTTTTCTCGCCTACTTAGTTTTCTTATTATTTAAGGTTTTCAAGTTCGCGCAGCTCAATGCACTTTTACCTTACAAAAAAAATTTTTTTTTATTTTTAAATTAAATTATAGTCTAATTCCACTTATGTATGTGTCCTAGAGACGTCCGAGACTCTTGGTCTTGAGTCTTGAGACTTGGAAAATTTTCGGTCTCGGGCGTCTCTAATTAGGGTTGGGGTTTTTGAGTCGGGCCGAGTTTCGAGTCATTCCTTTTGTGCCTCATTTTTTAGGGTCGGCGTCCTTTTTCGGGCCAAAATTCAATACCCGACCCGATCTTTCGGACCGGGTTTCGGACAACCCTATCTCTAATGGGTACTCCTTTGGGGTTGAAATAATCGTACACTAGAATAAGATTGAATTCAATAAGGGGGTATGCGGGAGTAGCGCTCTCAAGCAGCTTCCCCCACCTCATCTCTCTTTTATCCAGAGGCCAGTCAACTTTTAAAAAGTGTTCACGTTTTTATAAAATACAGTATTTATCTACTAGAAAAAAAATTTTTTTTAGAAATTCATCAAAAAATAAATATTATAATTCCACTAAGGCATTAAACATTAAGTACATTTTTTCTAAATTTAAAATTTTAAAAGAATTATTTTTTCAATATTTAATTTTAGTTGAAAAAATAAATTTAATTTTGATTAAAAAATATATTTAATTTAATGCCTGATAAATTAATATTATTTTTAAATTTAATCCCTTAAAGCTTTTAAATGTACTTTTTCACGCTTAATATTAATTCCCTTAATTCTTTTAATAAATTATGGTCGAAATCATTTTTAATTTTTAAAATATTTAAGAAATCGGAAATAAATTTTAATGAAATTGATGATAACATATGTAATATTTGGGTATTTTATACCTTGACTAGGGTAGCACCCC